GGGAAGATGATGCTTTTATAGAGCCAAATGCAGAATTCCACATAAAAAAAAAAATCAGGGAATGCAGGACACTGGATTAAAATACAAGTCAGTATCTTGGATGGCAAGAACTCTTTTTTTTTCCTCCCCATGAACTCCCAATGCATTATAGTTAAAGAAGCTAACACAAGCTATGGATTTATAAGCAGGACAGCACCGAGTAGCAGCTTTCTGGACCTGAAAGATGAATGTTAGAGTGTTGCATCTACTTCTTGAAAAAGGATTTTCAAAAACTGTAAAGGATTTGAACACTTTCCAAAAGGATCTTTGAGCCAACTTAGCTTATCAAAAGACAATCAAGTTGAGAAAACTACCATGAAATATCTTCATGACAAGAAAATAAGGTAATAAAGGACTGTAACAGTGACATAATAAAGAGATACAGCAAGCTTCAGATTAAAAGTGAAATGGTTTTAAGCATGACTGTATTCAACCAGTGGGACCAATTATCAAGAAAAATTACACTGTCTTCAAAATAAACCACCATCAAGATGGATCTGTATTAGCCAGTCAGAGGCTCACTACCAGACAGAAAGCATTCAGAGATTAAATGATCAAATAACCTACTCTTGTCTTAAGCACCATGACATCACAGTAATTGCACTCAACGCAGTCAATTGTGCATACAACGGGTAACAATTTAGTGCACTCCACTGTGATAGTGATAGATGCACAGGGCCATATGGTATATTTAGAAGCACATGCAACATTGAGGACATGTTTGAAAAACATCTTCCAAGCAGGAGAGCAGTTTAACCATTATTATATTGAAATAAGATTACAGGTGAGTCAGAAACTTGTTTTTTGCTACATAGACTTGAATGGCATGATTCTTCCTGAGCAATGCTGCTTCTCACATCACAATACATAAGATCCTTTTTCTCTCACCTCACTCTTCCAGAGAAAACTGGATATAGCATCTCATTTAAAGATCTTGCTATATTTGACTGTGTATAACCTCTGCTCCTAATCAGCAAATGATAAAAAGCCAAGAATTGTTCAAAAGTTACACCCTTACATACTTCCATGCATTACTAAGTCATTAAGATGGGTAGGAAGATTAAAAATGTTCTTGAAACAGGAGAAATGTGCATTCTAGAAAGTTACTTTTTCTGCAAAAACATTTCCCATTCAACCTAAAACTCCATACTATGTCTAACATTTCATTTAAATCATTGTTTTAAGTCACTTAATAGTTTTATTGCAAGGAAACAACAATTGATTTCCCTCTTTACCAAGATGCACATAGCTATAGTCCCTCTCTGATGTCAAGATGGCTGTTCACCTGTTGATTAATTGCTCTTTTCCTCTTCCTTAAATTAAGCAGTAATCAACATTCTGTGCTTTTCTGCCTTTTCCTAAGTATTTCAGTCACCCTTATCTAAGAAGGAAAGGTGTGCTACAATACTAGAAGAGACAGTTACATCATAAACCCAGCCCCTCTCCCCACATATATTTGGGGAATTTTTGTGTCAATTTTATTGTATTGAACCTTGAGGGTTTATGAGATTAAATAGAAACATAGTGCTAACCTACAATTCTGTAAATATCTAGACATAAATGAGAAACAAAGTGTCAACCATTACTTAATTTCTTAGCCTGTGCTTATGGAACAAGCCCACTAACTTTGCTTTCGTTGTTAAAAATTATCTGTAGCATAAAGGTATGGCAACTACCTTTCCAAAAGAGACGACAGTTCTTAGTTTTTAAGATGTTATATTTCCATTCAACCTTTTAAGCTGTTTGAGGTAATGTGCTGATTGTTTCTGTAATGGTTTATATTACCATTTGATACCTTTGTAACTTTTGGCCTACTGTGAACAATGTCAGCTTATTTTCATGACTGAGCCACGTTACAGTTATAAGGTGTTTCTTCCCCTTCGGGCTCTGCATGTAGGGTTACATATTTATGCATGATATGCAGCTGTAACTAGCACATGGAAAAAAACTCTTAAGTTGCTGCTGGCAGCATATCATTAACAGAAGGTACAATAGAAAAGAATGGGAATGGGTTGACCTTCCAAAGAATTATTGTTCAAATGCATTAAATATGAGACAATATTGAAGGTGAGAAATTAAAAAAAAAAATCAGACGCTTTACCATTTAGTTATTCAGATGAGTGATGGCTCTCTACCATTGTTGGTGTATTGACTTTGGTTCCAGTACACTCAACTGGAGCCTCTGTCAGTGTTCCTGAGGACTGAACTTCTGTAAGCATGTTGGATAAAAGACTGGGAACACCTAAAAAGGCTGACTTTTCCAAACCATCAGAATTTATGAACTAATGAAAGACTCATGGATGTGTCTCAAATCAAACATCCTCAGTTTGCTATACAGCTTTTCACCTTTCTCCTCATCTCTATGCCTGGAGGAATTAAACCAAATTAGTTACTTAAACTAAACAGTTCTCTTGTTCTAGAACTGGTTTCATCATAAGAAACCTGGGATGGTTTCTATATCCAACATGAGAAAAATCTCAATTATATACAGTTTACCTCAATCCCGTGTAGCAGGTAGAAACACAGCCAAATTAAAGAGGTAAAACAACTGCAAAAAACTGAAAGGATGTGTTAATAGTCAAGAAGTCCCTTGCAAATAAATTACTGCTGATAAGTAAAGTTTAAACTCAATGCAGAACACTCAGTGATCCTAAGATCAAGGAATATTAACATTCATTTCCAGATTAGTTGTAGTGGATAAGCAGCTAAATATACTTTCAAACAAGGAGTTTGAAAGCATCAAGTATTTTAGAGTTGCTTTAGGTCGAGCACATCCTAGCACAGTAACTCTACTCCTTTTCCAGTCGAAGTATCCATTGAATTTATGAGAATACAGAATCAAATTCCCTCAACTAACTTCAATGTACTTTGTATACTAGTTGGGTTTCAGTCACATATGCAATTTAATTCCACAATGGAACAATCAGAATTTATTTCCTACTGTCATCTATCCTCAGAAAGTGCAATTCATACTCCCAAGCTATAAACACGTGGCTTCTGAACTGTACGTGGTGCCACATACTAGCTGTTAATGAGAGGGTAGATCCCCCACTTCTTCAGGAAAATGAGAACATAACCTATGAATGATCTTTTCGGCCGACATCCTAGTTACATGCAATATGTGTATTAGCTGTTTTAAGACAGGGGACTCACCACACAAAAACAGTGGCAGGTTTAACACTAAAACTTTCTTTATACTGAAACAATTTATCAGTGATAAGGAAGCAGAAAAGAAAGGTGTATTATTCTGAAGTTAATTTTATATGAAGGTAATTTTATTTCCAGCAGCTAAAAGAATAAAAGTCTGAAGTGTCAGTATTACTGAACAGAGGCTGACAGGTTCCATTAATTGTAGGCAATCTATTCTATTAAAAACACTGCACTAATTTTATAATTAGTAGGATATCAAATCTTTGGAAACCAGATATTTTAAATTGTTTTTAGATTTATAGTAGTAAATATATTTATTTTTTCCCTAAAATAGCTGAAGTTATTTCTGATTTCAAAACTGAAGTTTCTCTAGTCTCTCTTCTCTGCATTTTATATAGAATCACTTTCAAGTTGCATTAATTTATCCGTGCATCCTCTTTATACAGACTCTTTTCACACAGAAAAAGGGCACAAAATAAGCCCAAGGCAGCAAAATTGTTGAGGAATGAAAGCTAAAACTGTACGATCATCAGAAATATCTTGCTCTAAAATAACTTTTCACATTTGATGTTAGAAAAGGACTAGGTTTCAAGTCAAGTGGACTCATCTTTCAAATGAGCTCTATCTTTAAGAGTGTTGTACCTTCCATTTAGTATGATACATACAAAGGCTTCTTTAAATTTGTTACTGCATGAAGATTAAGATACATAATAAACTTATAAAATGTTACGGATCCATTTAGTATGATACATACAAAGGCTTCTTTAAATTTGTTACTGCATGAAGATTAAGATACATAATAAACTTATAAACTATGTTACGGATAATTTGAAATAAAAAATCTAAAGGGTAAGAAGGTCCATAAAAAATATATCAGAAAAGGTGTTTAAGTTCAGGAGTGATTTATTTTCATGAACTCTCCACTCCATGATCTAGATGCTTGAAAGAGATGGAAAAAAAGTAGCTGAAATGATAATTACTTAAAAAGGTAACAGACAAAGGTGCTGTTCAGAAACATTAAAGTCAGAGAATTATGCTGGGTTAAGATTTTTTTACGACAGCTTTGCTCGCAGAAGCAAGGAAGATAAGCATCGGTCAGATGCCTGAAAGTGCTGTTGTGACTATGAACTTACAGGAATTGATTGACTCTGGTATCGTGCTGGAGGAGTTGTAAGGCCCATAAAGGAAGGTTGATGCGTACTCATCTGTCACGGCGCTGTGAAAACTGGTTTGGCTGCTGTTGTTGTTGTCACTACTGCTGTTTCTGTTGTATAAGTTGTTGTTCAGTTCATGGTTATTTCTGTGAGGCAGCTGCAAGCTGCCATTCAAGTGGCTGGAGATTTGGCTTACACAAAAACCTGTCCTAGAGGACGATGATGTCATTTTGCTCTCATCATCATCTGAAGCAGCATACAGGTTCCCTAGAGAACTGGCTAGTCTGGAGTTTATGGAAACACTGAATGGAAAACACATGCAGGGAAAAAAAAAAAATACACACAAGGTATGTACAGATATGTAAAAAAAATAACAGACAATTCAAGAAGACATTAGGTGAATAACACAGAACATTCTGAAATAATTTGTTTGCACACAGGTTCATCTCCTAGCTCTCAAATAACGAAAACCAGAATTCTTTGTCAGGAGTTCCCAAACTTTGTTTATTCAAGCACTACCATGGCCAACTTTCACCTCTGTCAAACCATATGCACATGCAGGAGATTTTGTTAAAAGGTGTAGGCAGTGGCTGATCTACATTGAAGTACTTTGTGTACATGCAACAGTTTAAGAACTCCTCTTCTGTTTCTTGAAATCAGTAACGTGATACAAGTCTTCCAGTAACCAAGACGTAATATGATAAAATTTGAGAATAAAGAGATATTTCAGGACACCCTATTTTTAAGTTAGTTATTTTCTTCAAGCAAATATTTGTGCCCAGAAGTTATTAAAAATGCATCAATCATTCTAAATTTCATGTAACATCCATAATTATTTAGTACAACAGTAATAACGGAATTAAACAGCAACAAATCAAGGGCTCATAAAAATCATATTAATTACCACTCAAGTATTCTTCTGAGATTAATAGTATACAGACTTGTGAGAATACTTGCAAAACTTCTATAAACTCAGGTGAGTTAAAAAAAAACCACAAAACAACAAACCAACCCTGATCAACGTAATACTGTTTCTGACTTGATATAATCCCACCAAAACTCTCATACCAGTAGTACAGGTTTCAAATTTTGTTTGTTTTTTAAATCTGCAGGCAACTAAAGTTTGGGTAGTGGAACAGCAAGTCACTTCGTAAGTAAATTTAAGCTTTCTTACACCCAAGAACAGCAAGCACTTCATAGACTGCATATGTGCTGAAAACCATTGTAGTATACAGTAAGTATTTGTACCAAAATGAGAATAAGAAAAAAAACCTTTTAAGGTTAGAGCCTGAGGATGTGGAAATTCTGCTTATTCTTTCTGCAGACGGTGAATTAACTGCCATCACTTTGGAGGTCTTCAGAGGAGACATGGATCCTTCTGTGCTACCTGAAGTATTCAGTCTAAAAGGAGTGCAGAGTTTTAGTGAGAAGCAAGATTTTCATAATTGAAATAAGACATCTCAGAAACACATACAGTCTTTCAATACATAGACTGGTATTTTTAAAAGTGGGAATTCTCAAGTCTGAGTACCAAGAACTCAACAGCAAAAACTCAACAGTTTGCCTGTTTTCAAATATCTTTTCAAAAAGCTTTTCAAATATCCCACTCCCAAGTTTTTCCCCTGCTGTACCATATTACACAGTGATAGGCTACTTTTCATCTTGATAATTTGTGAAGTGTCCATTTTGTATCAAATTTATTGTAAATTTGATTATAAATTGTAACTATTGTAAAATTTGAGAAAGAATACTTTTTGTGCTTATAAAGCAAGTAGCTTTCATGAGAACATCATCCTTTCCAAATGACAGCAGAAACATATTTACAAAGTTGCGCAGAACATACAGCTCTTTCTAAGGTAGGACTCTTAATGACCAAATTCTTCATATTTTGATAGTGAGCTGTAAGTACGGTACACTGGACTACTCAAAAATGTTAGCATTATAGGTGTCCATATTAAAAACTAATAAACGAATAGCCTCGCAGTAGTATGACATTCTCTCCATCCTTAGACCAGGGGATATTATCACGATCAGCTCTTAAAGGATCATAGACCTTGGGTACAAGCTCCAAGCACAGAAGGAACGACACTGAGCAGAAATAGCTTTGATTCCACACCAAGAAAGGGTAAACAGACATCTCCAAGGTCAGACAGCTGGAGTAATCCATCTCAAAAATCCAGGTTGTCACAAAACTGAAGATAATGTGTTCTTTTCAATATCATGCTTTATAATGACAGATATTTTGTCTTACATGTTGTATTTTAGATGCAACGGGGTAAAGGATGCCATCGTTACAAAAACAAAAGACTCAATTCTGCCATTCCTGTAACTCTTAAAATTAGGTCAATTTTCAACTTTACATTTCATTTTCTTTTTGGGGGGCAGTGTCAGTACCGATTTGAGATTAGTACAGGTCATAAATGAAATAAACATTTAGAAAATGAGAAGAATATTGGCTTTATTGGCTCCACAGAAAGTTCTGAACAAAGCATGTAGTAAAGTGTACAGTGAGGGCCCCATATTAAAATATGAAAAGGTACTAAAACTCAATATTTATCTGGTACATCTTCTAAAAAAAAGTACTGATTGTATCCACTAAGCAATACCTCTAGTTCATCTACTAAAACACACAGGACAAAAATGGTGAAGCACACAGGCGATACATAGCCAATTTAGGTTTTTGAGACAAGTAATTAATTTTACAGAGATAAAGCGGTTATGAGTTAACTAGTCATCCTTCATTGCATAACAGCATAGATATTAGAAAATGTGACTGAGGAAATTACTTGTATGTGCTAATTATTTATTAAGAAGAATTCAAGGTATCCCTGAAGTAGAGCTGTACCCCTCTGTCCATTAGATTTATTCCCCCCTCCCATTTGCAGGAACCCCTCTGTCCATTAGATTTATTCCCCCCCCCCATTTGCAGGTGTTTAGAAAAGTTTGTTACCTGCCACTTCTCAGAATTCTGAAATTGCTAATCAATTGATGTGATAAGTATAATTCAAAACACTGAAAATTTATGGCCTGAGTGGTATACATTTAGAACTATAATTTTAAAGTTAATACCTGAAAGGTTGTGATATTGACCTGGTGTGCAGTTTCATGTCTTGCAGCCTAAAGAAACCAAAGCAGCAATCTTTATCAAAGGATAAAAAGTCTTTCCCCTCCCCCAAAGCACACTTGCATGTCTCATACTCGCTTTAAAGTACAAGACTAACGAGTTAAGAATTATTGACAATCATTATTTTAGTTTACAGTTAAACAACAGGTACTTCAGGTTTATTTTCAAACTTCAGATTTTTACTGGTTCTGAAAAACTCAAAATTTATATAAGGAGTATAGAAAAGTAATTATAGAAAGATAACTAAGTTCACTGAAGAACATTTTGTTTGAGACATAAGTTTTAGAATGCTAGATATAAATTTGAAGGTTTTGAAATATTTTTTACTTTGTCTTTTACTGCTACATAGTAAGTAGGTATCCTGAACAGGGAGACAGAGGAAAGAAAAAAAAAAAGAAATTAATAAACCAAATCTGCAATTAATAGATATGTAGCTAGAGAAATTTCCACCACAGAAGGTGGTACGACTAGTAGCACTGCCTTAAACAAGGCCATATACTTGCCATAAAGATCTGATAGCATAGACTGAATTTAAAATTGCAAATTACCTCAGAATTAATTAATTACCTCAGAGCTCCAGTTGTAGCAGAACATGTCCGTCTCCGACTTTTTAAGGCATTAAGCTTATCTCCTTGTGTCATGCCATTCTGAGTTTCCACACCTGCTTTGTCTTCAAAATCATTCTGGAAAACACAAAGTATGCAAGCAAGGAAATACATCAAATCCGTAGAGGTAGTGTAGTTTCAAAGTATTGAACATCTCCTTCGCAAAGACTATAACTTAAAAGGCTGATCTATAATCTTCTGCATACGTGGGGCACTACTCTGTCTTTGCATAGTTCCAGTAAATTATATGTGCCACTGTACAAACGCACATTCACAGAGGCTTTTTGCAGAATCTGACCTCAAAGTCAGTTCAGGATGCTTGAGTCTAACGCCAGTATTTATTTACTTCAAAGAAGTCTGGTTTTATAGAACTTCAACTCCTTCCTCCATAACTATTTTTAAAGTTATCATCAAGGTGGAAGGGAAGCAGTAACACACAATGTTGTGATACAAACAAGATGAGGAACAAATTTAGATAAAGTCATGTGTCCTGCAAGAGGAGCTAAAAATCAACTTTCCTAAATTACTAAATTAAAAAAAGTTCTCATGACCTCTAGAAAAATACAGTTCTGAAAAAAATTCCCTATGAGAACTTAATAAGGAATATTGAATGAACAGATTTCAGAGTTTTATCCTACTTCTTCTAGCTTTAGAAAATATTATAAACTCTAAGAAATATTAAAAGGTATGCCCACACTGTTTAAATGCCTATTTATCATTTCTGACTGATCTCAGAATACTTTTCTAAGACCCAAGTATTAAGTAGAGACAGTATCTTAAGTAGCAGAGAAATACAAAAGTTACACAAAGCAAGAGAACTGCTATTTTTTTTTAATTGCCAAATGAAAAAAACGCGTACCACTTATGCTTCATTTGACCTCAGATCAAGTATTTGTATTACTGCAGTTCCTACCGTGCCTAAATGACCTCACTGCTCTGCATAAAACAGAACAATAGTTTCCAAGAATAATAGTTAACCAAGAACAATAGTTAACCAAGAGGAAAGACTGACAGAAGTAGTAATACAATAGAAGTTAATCAGATGATGTCATGGTCCAAGTGTTACATTAATTATAGGAAAATATAAATATTTTAGCTAGATTTCATTGAAGATTATATGCTAGGCCATTGTTACCTATCATTCAGCCTCAACACTGATAAATTTTGTTTCACTGTCTTTACCTGCCCAACAGTTATTGCATGTAGCTGTTCTGTCCTCTGAGTCTTAGACCTTATGCATTTTTGGGACTGGGAACATTACTTTGTTTTGAGCTTCTAGAGAGCCTCGTATAATGAGGTCTTGAAATAGAACCAAATATCCAAAGAGATAAATGTTTTGAAAACTGGATGTTAAACAGCTTTAATGACATCTGTAAAAAACTGAAATATACATATTACAGAGAGGGTTACAGTAGAAAAAGGCAGCACTGTGAATTTATATTGTGAATCTGTATGTAAACTGCTACACAGTGTACAGGTAGTTGAATTACCCGCAAGTAAGTTGCCTTAAATACTGGAAGCAGTAAAGTTGTAGTAGTAGCTCAGATTCAAAAACATTACTTTTACCCGTGTGGCTATGTGCCAGCTGTTTTCATTAGGCATACAAGACCATCTCTACAGTGTTACTGTCTCCAGTTAGTAATCTAGATATTTAACTTTACATATTCCAAGCCACAAACTGAACTTCCAAAAGGGAAATAGTACCTTTACAGAAATGCATTCAAGGTGCTCTTCCAGAATATGACAGATCACATGACAGATGGTTATTTTAATTTATACTAATAACTACCTGAAGAAGGTGCCCGCTACATCCCTGGTCTTTTACATCAAGTAAAGGATTCCGTCAGCAACATAAAAGCTCTTTAGTTATTACAGAGCTAAGACAGGATTAATCAAATGAATAGTTCCTCTAAACTGCTTCTCACAGATACTGCAGGAAACTACACTTTAAGATTTTTACTAGCCCAGAAGCAGAAGTGCGTTCACTTTAGTTCACACTTCATGCCTATGCTTCCAATAAATAATTGTAAGATCCTTAACCTAAATGTACACATCACATCAGTAATCCATAACACTGTGATAAAGGGATGGACATCTATACACTCATGCATTATTACCTAGAAACTTGGAATAAATAGATTTCCAGGAGGAAAACTGATTTTTTTTTTCCCCTCTGTTCTCCAATAAGCAACTGAAAACCCTGAAAGAATGACTTTAAATAATGCAAACCTTTTGAAGCTTGCAGAGTGACCTATAACAGTTTTAAATATAACCTAAGCTTTTTTCTTTTTTTTTTTTTTAAAGTGGAAATTTGTTCTAATTATGACCTATTAAAAAAAAATTTAGCTGTGAAAAAGCAGTCTAGTACTAATAATTTTAGATTTTTTTAGGCTTTTATCTATAGCTAGTTAGTAAAAGATCAGCTCCATCTCTGCTTGTTTGAAATTTTTTCCTACGAACTCTTACCTCCCTGTATTGATCCAAGTCTTGTACTTTATTCAAGCTGTCACTGATTGAAATGTCATTCAAGCCACAAAGAACTCTGTTAATGTTTCCATCAGCTACTCGTTGTTTCTGCTTTGATCGGATGAGATCTCCCTCCAGCCATAACATTGCTTGCTTCCTTTAGGATACAAAACCAAATCAATTCATATCAGCAAATTTGCATACACATAAAACCCAATATGAAAACATGCTACTCTTAGAGATTGCCAACATTTGAATCTTCTGTACATCTTCATCTGGAAAAAAAAAAAAATCAAATCTCTATCACAAAAAAAAAAAGGAAACAATCATTTTCAATGGTTAAAAACAATGACAACCCGCACCCCCCTATCACCAAACAAGTCTGTAGCCATCACAGAAATATTACAGGTACTAAAACTTCATTTTACAAAATCCTACTGGGAAAAGAGATTAACTAAACAGGAATTTGCAATGGTATTTTAAAGGCTTTTAAAACACAACTTAAAAATTCTTATAAAATAATGCTTTTATATACGTAATGTGTAGAATAAATGATGATACAGCACCTTCCAACTTCTTATTAGCATGAGTTTTGTGTATACAGATATTGTGCAGTAAAACTACAGCTGACCTGCACAGTGGAAGTGCTCATAGTCATGTAAAGTTGAACAGGACTCTAGTTTCAATTTTCAGAAAATGAAAGATTATATCCTTCAGACAGGTAGTAAAAAAATTTAATAAATTTAATTGCTACAACGTGCATGGGCTAAGCAGGCTTTTGTTGCTGAGACTGCATTATTCCTTGATAAGGAAGTTTGCTGGGTAGGTATCTGTCATGATAGTTGCATCCAAGAACTGAGACCCTATTACATATTATTGTAACAATATTAAATTCCTATACTGAACAGAGAAAAAAATGAATGAGGAATTAAATCAGAATATACTTTCACTGGAAACTTTTCTTTGTTTGAAAACGAAGTATTACGGCAAAGCTTAAGAGCCAAGTAGTCTGAGCCAACTGCCTAAACTTGCTCAATAATAAATGGGAAAGGTAAGCACTTCCAGAAAAAATTCACTATGTCCCAACAAAATATCGAGAAGGGAGAAGAAGGGGGTGGGGGGGAAAGGGAGCACCACTTTCCCACCTAACAAAAGTAACCTAGAAAACATGCTTGAATTTAAATACCTTTGAAATCTTTCAAGATTAATTGCATTCACAGTAACAAACTGATTTGATACTTACTTGGGTGGGAGGGTCTCTACAAAAGAACTACTCAAACCTCCCTTAATAAACCTCAAAGTACCTACGAGATGAAGCTTTGACATCTATGAAGGTTGGGAGATCAAAGTTGCAAGATTTTACCTTCTTGTCAGATGCAACTTTGCAGCCCTGAAGGCAAGATACTTTATATTAGAATGATGCAACTGATGTTAGCTCCTTCTTTCTCAATCCCATTGTGACACTACTGGTGACATTGCTTGAATTTTGTCCGATTGTCAGAACAGGTATCTATTGCCACTAGGACAATAGAAAATTCTTACTGAACAATACTACAGCTCTTAGCTATGAATAATGTAGTTATGAATGAAAAAAATCTGAAGGATCTTTGCCTATCTATAAAATCAAACCAAGTATTTATACGCCACTGCAGAAAAGACATGGGCCCTGTTTTTCCTGTCTTTCAAGTAAATAGCACTTACTAATCACACTACCTACTACCTTCCCCTCTCAATTTTGCTCTATTGTGGAAATTGTTATTTTTAAGAGTGCATCATCCAAGCATCAGCACGGTGTGGAGAAGTTTAATCTGCCTTCAGTGAGCACTTGTGGTTTGTGAAAGTTTGTGATTCACAGTATTTTGAATAATGGTGGGCCACCTCTCAGATAAAGGAGTGCCCATTCAGTTGCACTGGAAAATAAATAGGAACCCTCATTCATGCTCGATTTCTCTTATGAATTACAGTAATACTCCTCCTTTCTCTCTAATATCCTCTCGATTTTAAGATGCAAGGTCAGCGCATGTTTTACTGTATTTACACAGTATCTAGCAGAGCTGTTGCATTCTCTTTTTGGAAAAAAGAGACAAATTTGTGGTGGATTTTCTCAAAATGTTTTTTCTCATAACAGTGAAAATGCCTCCAACTAAATATCATCATGTTATCAACTCAAAAATATCAGCATAACTACTATAATAGTAAATGCACAATGTAGAAACCAGTATGAAATTAAACTTAGTGTCTACATCACTGAAGCCAGTGCAGTTTTGTCATTCGTTTCCAGTCAGGATCAAACCTTGAATCACCCATTCAAGTTATCCGTACATGAAGTGTTCTCAACCTGAAGTATACAGTCAATTTTGAGAAGGAGCTATATTAAAACCATACGTTTGTTTTGCTAATGACTATTAGCTCCAAATCAGAAACGCTTCATACGTTATGCTAGGAATCTGACAGAGATCATAAGCTGTCCACCACGTACTTATTTAATCTTTAGTTACAAGAAAGAAAAAAACATACCAATTATACTATTGTAAGATTCACTTTAAGTGTCATCATAGGCTATATATAAAGTATATAAAGTCTATCCTTTCTATGCTAATATTTTAATAAATCCTTACTGTTGATTTAAGCTTTTGTCCACATGTGGACTTTACACTTCCAACACATTTGTCCTTAACCCCTAAATCCCCCAGAACACAAACGTGCAGCGTCTTGAGACCTTCTGCCCCTTAAGGTGACAAAATGCACAGCACTCCAGAGAAGATGATTACTACTGAGTAAGTTTGATTTCAATCCAATTAACTAACCTTAAATATATTGCAACAGGCAGTAATATACGACGTCAGTAGACGCAAAGTAGATCCTATAAATAGCGCAAGATGGGTAAGGATGTAGAGAAGCAGTTGATTCTTAGTAGCAAAGAAGGTATACATACTCTTCCAAGAAGTGTTGCTGGGGTCCTATAATAGAGCCTGGTCGACATATTCTTATCCAAGCAATGGCTTCAGCATGTGTGAACTTGTGGTGTTTCATTATGTAACAGGCAATCAGTGTTCCTGTTCTCCCCAGGCCAGCTACAGAAACACAAATTTCAACATTCACATACGAAGTCATGAGCACTTCCTAATTATCAAATTGAAGTATGGGATATGAGAAGACTTCTTTGCAATGTTATTCACCAACTTAATATTTGAAGAAAGAATTTCTGATTCAGTATCCCGTTTATCACATAACTGGATTTCAATGCTGTAGATAGAAGAACAAATATATACCGATAACAAGTTAACAGCATTTAAGAATGCATGCAACAGTGATCACTCTTGGCACTTGCACAATTCTACTTCAAACTTTTTTTTGTTTAAAAAAAGGCTGATATTTTAAAAAAGCCATGACCAAGCCAGATACAAACTTCATATTTATAAAACCAGTAAAAAACAAAATCAAAGTACCTTTGAGAGGCCAACACACACATTTTACAAATCAAAGTTCAAACACATGCAAATACAACACGACAGATTGCAGCACGTGTCTTCTCAGCCAGTGGCTTTTTCTTTTTGAATCAGTTTTGTTGTGAAACCAACCTATAAAACTATTCACTGCTATCTGTATAAACAGCAATGAATGTTGACCAGCATATAATTTTATATATCAATCGCTTAAAATAATTTAACCCACTGCCCTCCAAATCACAAACTAATACTGGTTTTAAGAGGATTAGGAAAATAGAGACAGGAAAATTAGCTTTTACTATCAGACAAATCTCTAACTATAGAGTAAGACTTCATCTCTTCTTAGCCCTGTGTCTTATCTACTAGTAAAGTGTCTCCCCATTTAAACCTTATTTTCCCGCAAATACACTATTTGCAGTTTACAGTCTCATGGTGGCCAGCTATTGTTTATGCACCGACAACTATCTAAATGGAAACTCTCTAAGCAGCCAGACATCCTTGCTGACAATTCTATACACAACTACCAGCTCTTTACATTTAACCAATAACTAAATCTTGCTGTGACTTTTTGGAAAGTTAAGATGATTCAGGCAAAAGGATGAAGGTAAAAAGTTCACAAATAGTGAGATTCCATAACTATATACTGGAAGACTAGCTCTGAAGAATCATTTAAAAAGGGGAAGTATTGTTAGAGAGAGAGAGTTTTGGGCTTGGGTTTTTGTTTTGTTTTGTTTTAAATGCAAAAGGAATGCAACATGCAAATAGATAACCAAGAGCCATACTATACTAAACATCTGAATACGGAAATGGTCTTTAAAAATTGCAGGTAACATCTACCAACTGCACATATCACTAAGACTTCAGTTCTTTTCTCTAAGTTCCTGCTAATGTACAAACTTTCTATAGCAACCCTTTGCATTAAACCATTCCGTAACTTCTGAGACAAGCAATTTCTAGTGTGGAAGCTGTGCTTGGAATACTTCTGCAATTAAAAGCACAAGAAAACTACAGACAATACATTAACTCTGACTTAACTGTTGTTTTAACTTTGTATAGGTTTATTTAGAAGGGTGTAAAAAACCTAGAAAGAATGAGATTGTTGGTTTGCTTATTAAATGGTCAGATGACAGACCAAAAATACTTCAGTTTAGCAAGTGCATATCTAAGTCACTAGAAAAGTACATTGTATTCCTTTAGCAACTAAGCCTGGAGAATAACAATCTACTCCTGCTAATCAATAATTTATACTCTCATTTATTCAATTAGCAGATGTCCAGCTTATTAATGCCAGAATCTCTGGGTTCTAGCCACAGTAACAACTTTTGTTAGCAAATAAACTTATTTATCTTTGATATGCATGTTTATTGTTCATGGAAAAATTATGAATGAATAGCACTATTCTTGTTTCAGATCAGCAAGACATTCGTCTCCACAATGTCCTTACACAACTCTAAACATAAATCAAGCCGAACCCTTCAAAGCCTTTGTTAATCGTTCTTGACTAAGCATGTTTTGTGTATTTTCTGGCTGATTTGCTGAAATAGGCTGGTTTGAAATGCTGGCATCACAATAACTCGCATTAACTTGAAACGTGGAAGTCATGCTCCACAGAAAAATGTTTAACAGTCCAAAAGCACAAAGAAAACCTTTCAGTCTTTTGCATTTCCTAGCCAATTATCATAATGCTGTGAAAGCATAATGCAAAAGAGAAATCTCCATCAACTAAAACTCAGCCTTCAAGTGATATTAAGAAAAAACAGAACAATGAACAACAGATTGTCAGTTACTGTAAGTAGTAGCGTAGGATGAAAGAACTTAATATGCACATGAGAATAACAAATATTTGTCTCATATTTAGTCAAGTATCATAAAGCAATATTACTTTCACAACCAGAAGGTGTTATTTTTTTAAATGCTTTATTTCTGCAATAAACTCGATGGATTTATATTTATTTTGAATCAGTCTGAGAGACATAAATAAGTGCACATACCTTTACAATGTACAGCAATAGCACCGTCAGCATTTTCACAGATGTTCAGGAACCTCTGAACTATACTGTCACTTGGTGTGCTTCCATCTATGAAGAACAGGTCATAATGCTCAAAACCAGCATCGGTAAAGCGTTTTGCCTCATAAATTTTTTTGTTTTGTCTTATGACTGATGTGACATTATGTTTCTTGAAATAAGGAAAGTAGGCTTCAGGTGCATGAAGAGGATAACCTATAAAAAAATAAAGCAACAAACATTTAACGTCATAGATGAAGTTCAAAGTCCTACTAATCAAAATTGCCCGCAAAACCTTTTCTGAATGATAAACATGCTAATACTGAAAATGCTTTAATATTTTATTCAGAATAAACATGTTAAGTGATATAAAAAAATTGTCCACAAAATGCTCATGAAGACCCCTATAATTAAAAAAAGGATCAGAAAAAAAAAATTAAAGCACAGTACATGTGAAACACCGTACTGTCTCCTGTTTACCCCATTCCTCTCTACAAGTAGGGTTTTATATATAAAGCTAGGCACATATATGAATTCAGCATCAGAACAGCGCTGCTTATTTATAAAGCTGCAGATCAAAGAATAAGAATTTACTTTAAGAGGAAACACTGTGTTTATGAGGAAAATAGATTGGTGATCTATACTATGGACAAGAGGAACAGTCAAAGGATAAACTGTAGTACCAGAAATATTCTTGCTCCACTGTGAAGTAAAAAACCTTTAGTGCCTTGGTTCAGTTGAGAGACAAAAGGATCTTCTAGATGATGATGGGGGGGGCAGGGAGGGAGGTCAAAGACCAAGCACACCACAACTGTTTAGGACACTTTCACCAAATAGATGTTCTCTGTCGACGAGGGTGTGAGGGACTGTGTGCACATGCACACGTCTATAGGATGTACATATGTAAAACGTAGATTATTCTTGTCCATTAACAATTAAGTCTTACAAACAAAACACAGGCCCCTGCCACAAAAATCTGAAGGTCTGTCATTGACTAAAATCATTGGTTTATCTCCAGAATTTTTATTACCGTTCAAATAAAGTCCAAAAGCTTCCTCACAAAACATGGGTCATTTCTACAAGTCATACATGCGTTTGTAAATGCAATTAGTCACAACATAATGAGAAAAATGTAGCTTTGTAATGTGTACTTACACTCACCTGGGTTTATTTGTAGCCTCATAACTGGATTTTAAACATTAGTGTTAATTTAGTAATTTTCAGTTATATACATGTTAAAAACAAAACACAGGTTTTCCAAATTCCATGGAACAATTTAAGTAATTTTTGAAAAAATTCTGCAAGAAGGGACTGTAACAGTGACTGGGGAAGAAACCCAACCCAACCTAAGTATTTTCTCCCTGGGTTTTGTTTAAATCTTCAGTGGACACTACGCAATTAGCAGCATTCCAGTCATAAAGGAAACATGAGAGCGCAGAAGTGAAGAAGAGAGTGTTAAAAAAAAAAAGATATTCAGAAAACATGCTCACATAAACAAAGTGACAAGGCACAAAGAATAAGGTGAAATTCAGCAAAAATCTGATTGTAGTTTTTAAATGACTGATTTTCCTTTTAGCTGGATCGAATCTCTACTTTCCCTCTGTCGGTCAAGTTTCTCTTTTTTATTCCATTAGAATCACGTAGGTTCTTCCCATTATCCCAAGAATCTTCAGCAGTAAAGGCAAGCTTCTTTTTAAAGTCTTCACTGGCCTTTGTTACAAAACTCTTAATACAGTCTCCTTTGCTTTATGCAACTGACCTTTACTTCTGCATACTTATCATATCAGGTGTCAGGTTCCAGGAGAAACATAAGGGCCCTGAATTTCTCAGGTACTTTGCCACTGAATGAAAGTCACTGACTGTTAGAAGAATTTGAATTCTTCTAGCAAAGAAGAATTCCAAAACCTTTGGAATTAAGTTCTTTGATCGTATATAAAATGTTGGCTGTATGATTATTTTTGAAGATGAAAATTAATCTATAAACCTCTGTTATCTTCTGCTCATTTGCTGTTACTGTTTAACATGCTGGAAAAAATAAGATCACAGAATAGCATTAAAATATACACCATACCATTTTCAAGTTTGCTTTTTGGATGTGGTCCACTAAATGCCAAAAATTTTCCTGGAACAATCCAGTTGAAGTCACCATTTTCCACTCGCTATAAAAATTTCAGAAGAGAAAGAGAAAAGCATTTTATATCTGTACATGCAAGGATAAAAAAATTACTCAAGATTTTATTTTGCTTTTTACTATGTTCTTGTTGCATTAAAACAAAACACTTCAAATGTAATTAGCTAGCTATATGGGACAAACTAACTAACCATAAGCTGCTTCTCAGAGACCTCTTAATAAAATGAAAAGCAAAAAAATTTTGCTGAAGTTTTCCAATAAAAGCATAAAGATCCTATACCTAAGATATTTCTCCCTTAGAGGGTTCAGCGTTTTAAGACACCTACTTATAACAACGCTAACAAACACCAACATTCTTGTATGCTTTAATCAAAGAATATGGAAAAATGCTTCCCTGTAAGGCACTGGCTAAAAAACCCAATTCACAGAAAACAAATTAAAAACCAATTAGCCTTCAAAAACAATTATCTTTTCCCTGTAGAAACTGAAATTTACATATTGGCATAAGCTCTGATGAGCCAGTAATCACAGAAGCAAAGTATAAATCAAATAAAAAGACTAAATTAAAAAAAAACTTGCAAACTGACATTTTGCATTTCTCGCTCACTTTTAAATGAAAACTTCAGAAAGACTCTGCAAATTCTGTCAGTGCCAAAACTGGAAGCTTCTTTGGAAATACATAACTGAAGTTCAAAACTGCCTTTTTTTTTTTTTTTTTAATTGAAGAGTGGTGATTCCTCATTTGGCAATGCAGTCATTCTCAGCATGAATTTTAAGGACACTGCACTCAGTTCAACTGCATTATTAAGCTTGGGGTTTTAGCTCTCAGCAAATCAAAACATCCTAATGAGTGAAAGATTCTGATAATGGACATTACTGTAATCAATTCACCATTTGCTTAGCTAAGCCCATTAGGCTTGCTCCAAATGTCCTCACACAGCGAAAACTCCTGTAAGTTAACAAGGTTGCATAAGGACTAGGGAACCGATCTTACTGCCAAGCCAGGACCCCTCGCCCCCCCCAGATTTGTATCACAGACTGCAATCGCAACACTATAGCGCCTCTGCCCCCTTTAAGGAAGAAGTCCTGTTCAATAAGTTGTATTACCAGTTTCATTTGTGAATTAAATAGTTCTTTATAGTTACATAGGTTATTGTGAATAATTTAAATTTTAACCAATCTGAACTGCAGATATATAGGTATATGTGTGTATACTCAACACTACATGCAAACAACATTATTATTAAAAGAAAAAGAGAACTTGAGTATTTTACATCTAGTCCAACAAAAGGGGAATTAGCTGCCTTGATAATGTTGTAAGATGAAATAACTATAAAGGTGAAACAGAATTTCCTTTAGCCTGCTCCCTTTAAGTCTTATGCAACTTCTCTCCACATAACTACACATTTGAAGACGTAACGTATCAAAAACTTGGAACATTTGAAGTTTTAGAAATATAGCACAAGACACATCTAAACATGCAAAGCTGACCACGATGCGTAAAATAATAGCGGACATACCAAAAAATGGACAAAAAATTAAAGATGATTCCAAGTTCTTGCTTCTTAAACTCAGACAGCAGACAGCATACTTTAAACATCATTTACACATACATACTTTTCACAAACTAAAATAATGTTAAGCATTAAACAAGGTAATGGAATAGCTTTAATCAATTATTTTAATAATTTTTTCAGGCAGATTAACGCCTACTATATACACAGATTCCTAAGAATTCCCAACCATCATTTGTTTTTAGAACAAACATTTTCCTTTTGTACATAAAGTAAGCAAAAAAGCAGCAATTTCATACTTCAAATTTTAGTTACTGTTCGTTTAATTTCGGTAATTCAGCAAAGGCTATACCAATTTTTCAATCTAATCATTATGGAACATTACAGTATAGAAATCCTTCTACAAATGCTTTTGTAAGTTTTGTGCATAGCTATATGTTATAGTGTGCCTATTGCAGCCAACATCTACTGTATAGATTTGTGTTGTAAATTAAGTTTTTCCACTATTTACTCCTCTCCTGACTTCACCCTCTCCCTCCTTCCTGAATATTTATGAAGCATTTCCTACAGCTGTATGTATTTCAGATATGTACTGAGTCACCCATATCTTCTTGTTTGTAAAACAAAATAGTTATTTATCAAATGCTACAGACATTTAAGAAAAGGAATTATCCCTAAAACTTGTTTGATATTAGAAATATTCAGCTTAAGATAATACATTTTAAAATGGACATTTTCAGACTAAGCAAATTTATTCTCATTATTTCCAAGTTTTCTGAAAATCGTAATAGAGGGGCTGGGGGGAAGAATATTGGCTACAACAAAGTAACACAACTCTAAAAAGAGAGTTTAATATATATTCAAATGTTTAGTACACCTCTAGTTCATAAATCTTTCTCCTTAACCAATGCAACTGCAGAAACTTCAGGGAGTTCCAAAGGCAAGGTCCAATACAACTACGTGGTTGTCACGGACTTCAGTAAAAACCCTTTCCCTTCCTTTGAGCGTGGGGAAATGGTAGACAAAGATCATGCAGCTATTCTGGACCAGATGTATATACACCACCTGTGCCTGCAATTTCCTCTGTACGCACCCCAGTTCACAGGTGCAGCATGGGCATATTTCAAACGTTCTCTGCAGCAATATAGCTTGAGATAACTGTCTACTACTAGCAGATAAAGGTGTGTATGTTACAGAGCAAAGTCCTAGAAACATCTAAAGTCATCCAGAGTATCTATGCTTAAGTTGTCAGAAGGCTGGCAGAACAATGAATGACATCTGTTAGCTCTCTGGGACTTCATTAGGGAAATATTTTGGATGTATTTTCATTACTGGAATCCCCACATAATGCATTCTTACTAAAAAAAGCTCAAAATGTGCTTAATCTATGTGACTATAAAAAATTTATCATATATTTGAGACTAATAGGATCTCAAGAAGCAGCTCAACAAGTGTTGAAAGAAAACAGAGATTCTGTGGGTCAGCTGACAGACCTTGGATCGTAGCCAGAAAGGCTACGAGAAAACAGTAGACTTCCGTGATGCACTGAAATGGCAAGGTTTTTCATCCTGCATGTTTTCCACATACAGCGTACAGGTTTGGATGTACATACCTTACATATGAACACTGGGTTTTACTCGAATTAAAATGTGTTTCCAGTGCGTTTTAAGTTGTGCGATACTGTATATTCTAACTTATTTTAGGTAAACCAACCACATTCAACTCATTATTAAATGTACAAACCTCATAGTGTTCATATTCATCCACATCAAATGTCTTAAAGTCAAAAAATCCATGCTGCAAGGCCTAAAAGGCAACAAGGGGTCAGTTTATTCTGAAATATGATATATAATCTCATTTTATAATACTGTTTTTGAGAATCAAAACTAAATCACTAAATGTTTGTGCTTTTGGCTTATTGAAGCCTCTATGTTAAGACAACATTACATTTTGCACAGATTAACAACACAGACAACAAGAACTTCAACAATGTCACTAAAGCATGTCAGGCTCGTTATTTCCCCTTCAAAGACATTACGATGGGACATAAGGTTGTTGCATTTCATTTAAATTGTAAAATTGATTCTCCCCACCCCACTATGTACATTTTTTTCTGTAAGGCAGATGACAAATTAAAAAGCAATTCCCTTTTCGTCATACACTCAATTCAATGATTTCTATGCTGAATACATTTTCATGCAGTAGGACATAACAAAATATAGACCATTAAGAGTTTATTGATTTTCTATACTTAATATGATATTCTGATTTTATCACCATAATATCCAGGCAAAATGGCATATCCAGAACACAGTACTGTGTATAACCTGTATTTTCTGATTTGTTTTTAATACACATTCCACTGATAGAATGAAGTTCACTAGACTACGTTAGACAGTATTTATTACAGGATTGAAAGAAACCAAGTTTTGTATTTGATTACTGTAATATTAAATATGTCAATTTTGTACTAGAGATTTGTGTATAATACCATATTAAAAACAATTCTATGAATAGGGAATTCATAGCCCAAATTTCTTCCAAGAAATAGGTGGAAGACAGTTCTGCAGCATACATTTATGCTGAATCTGCTGCATTTTGAGAAGTACAGATATTACACAACATTCTGGGACTAAGGTGTGATAAAAAACACAACATAGATCTATGATTTAAAAAAAAAAAATCAGTCTGCCATTATTTGCTACATATAGAGCACCTTTTAAAGACAAAACAAAAATAGCTTTGTTATAGACAACATAGGCTCAATGATTGGACCTGTCATGAAACCTAAGATACCGAGAGGTTTGTCTCAATAGCTGATTTTGAAAAATTTATTTCATTTAAGCATGGTTGGCTGGCTGCACTCCACAATTTGTAGGCCCCCTGAATTACATCTATATGATATATGTGCACGCAAACAGCAAGTTTACCCAGGTAGACTAAGATTTTACTTTAGATTAAGGCATATGGTTTCTGCTCAAAGTGTTTTTACCTCTGTAGGTGAACTGGACAAAAATTCAGAAATAAATTTTATGGGAACAAAGGAGGAAAAACCGATTCTCGAAGTCCTTTTGACGTGTTTGTTGCAGATAAATTACAGTGACTGCACTGACTGCTTCACAGAGCTTCAGGATCCGTAGAATGCCATACAAATTAGAGTCTTGCTGTTAACTGACAGCTCCTTTCCCACCTCCACAGAACTAAAAATATTAAGCTTGATCTCTCTTTTTTCAATTTTTAAGAAACACTTGTTTGCCATACTTTTAAGAATTACAAATATTCTATAAAGTGTCTGTACGGAACTGTTCATATAGCCTGCTCTCTTCATCAAGATGACTGGAAAATAATGAACAAAACTTAATCTTTGATTATAGTATGAAGTATATACTAAAACACAAGGTTGTCAATTAAGACGTGACGTAACATTTTTAAAAAGCAATATTGGAGCTTAATATTCCCCAGGACCAGGACTGTTGAAAGTAACACATCAAAACAGGAGGAAGATACATTAATTTTCATTCTTTTTAAACAATTCTGAAAAGATTAGTGTCAAACACTGAACCAAGTGTTTTGGGGGAAAGTTGGGGCCAAGTACATGCAAAAACTGCTCAGATTAAATCACAGTATACCTAGGTGTCCGTCTCACTTGACTTTATCAACCTACGTTACTCCCTTTTACCAATGGTTATAAATGATCTGTTCGCAGATCTAGTGCACTGCCTTGCACTGTTAAGAACTGTCCCCAGCCAGGCCTGGTGCGTTTGCACATTCCGATTCATAAGGTGAAGTTCAGAAAGCTGCCAAAGGCCAGGCCAGCCAGGTAAAAGTGTAACCTTCTTCCATTGTCACTACTCAAACACAGTCCCCAGTAACTTCGGCTTCATGACAGCATACTACTCATTCACACACATTTTGCTTTGAAACCAGATTTTCTAGTGTGTTTTAACAGTATTTTCCTTCACATTTTAAAAGCCAGTTTAAATCTGTTTTGCTAAGGAAAAGTGTTATTACCTTATTTATTCCCTGTAAACAGTCCAAGATCGTAAGATTGTACGTGCAGTTCCCAAATGAAGCGTCCCTATAGATTTAATAAAAATGAATTTAATATACACAGAATTATTTTAAGAACTCGGGGAAAGGCAGCACACAACAGAGTGTATTCAAGTTATTCAATCCCCTCTGAGAAATCTGAATTAAAGTTTGAAGACAACATCTCTTTTGAAGCTTGTTCATGGTAAAGCATTTCCCTACCAAAGACATAGCTCAGTGTAAATGCAGTTAGATACTGCAAATTACTTTAAGTGCATGTTTTACATCATCTAACTACATGCCCTTTACCAAATTATTTATGCTGTCCTGGAACAGGAAGCTTTTCATCCTCTCTCAATTGTGTAAGGATAGTAGCAAATAAAGCAAAACTTGCTTTAACCATTATTCAAGTCTTAATTGAGTTACACTGTCTAACAAGGAAAGGCACATAGACTACTAGTTTGGATTTCATTTACAGGCTCTCATTTCGATGCCTGTTTACAGATGTGATTAAAAATTATCCAGATATAATTAAATTTAAAATTACTTGACCTCAGTTCTGCCACTATGAAAATAACAATTTCTCTTTAAAAGATGACAGGATACCCCAAAGCAAAACATATTCAAGTAGTAAGAGACACCAACATTAAAATAAATAACACCACCAAAAAATAACAGCAACAAATGTATTGGGGGAAAAAAGAAAAGTACTTTTCAAAGTCTGCTTCAGACCAGTTTGCATTTTAACAAAATTCTGCCTGGTCAGATTACGTCCTAATCAATTATTAAAGAAATCTTTTATAGTTTTGCTCTAAGCTATGTTATCCAGAATGCCAAGAGCTGCAATTTATCAGAACAGCAAAATTTTAGGTTTCAGCCAGATACATCTTTAATCTATAACCGATTCAAAATTTCATTCTTTCATTGACAACTTTCCTTTTTTGATAGTCTACTTGCTAGAAGTAGTATGAAATTTGTTATATTGATACGCTCCTTCAATCCCAAGTACTTTAAGAGTAGAATATTCTCAGCCATTCTTTAATAGCAGAATAAGTATAGCAGTTTTGAGCAAGCAGTGTTCATAGAAAATGTATTTAAGAAAATTAATAGCTACAATTTTGGTAGTGCCACATTACAGGCAGGCTACTCTAGAAAAGCTTTCAAGTTATTAGATTATTAAAAAATACTTAGCCACAATGTTTTAGAATTGGAACTTTAAAGTGTGAATAAACCTTCAATATCCAAATCCAACAAAGAAGTTTTTCAAAATGAAAAGCCATAAAGTATTTTCATTACATTAGATACACAGAACATACCAAAGCTGTAAAATATAAACTTTACAGACAATACATTTTTCACAGGGGAAATTTGGATAACGGATCATTTTAGCACAAAAGCATTTTAGCAAACAAAAAGGTCTTCTGAGCAAAAAATCTTAAGGCCCTAATGGGAACACATATATAGCAGAAAACCTTTAAAAGCTGTAACAGTTTTCTGAAGAGTCTGACAGAAACAGCAAAATCTAAAACAATGCAAACCACAAAATTAAGTATTTAGAGAAATATGAATGGAAAATATGATTGTAGCAGACATGTTCTATATTACATGTTATTTTGCTACAACAATAATATAATTTTTATTTTATCTCTATGTATATAACTACTTCTTCAACTGATAAGGCATCTGATACTGCAGTACATAAAAACAATACTGGGGAAAAAAGCCACATAATCTCTAATCCATTAATAAGCAGCGCTATGAGAGCGAGAGAGAAGGGAGAGGAGAGGAGAGAGGGAGGACATTGAACTTGACCTAGATGTACAAGATAAGCCTATCACAATTCCAGGTGTACAGTATTCTTAGCTACGGTTCCCACAGACGGCTATTACCAGTGGAGTGCACATGGATGCTGGCAGCTAACATCTATTGCCTACATCATCCGTGCCTCAAACGTCTCATTTCTGTTGTTGTGCACCTAACCTTTACAGTAGGTGTACTCTGACTGGAGAAAACAGCTCTGCTGACACTTGCCAACCACACGGAGTGAAATAATAGAAAGACTGAAAGCCAGGAAATTCCAAATAGGCAAAGTTTTGGAATGAACAAATAAAAAGCTGTTTAAACCTAATCCCAAATTCCCAGAAACTCAAAGAATAGCAGTATTCTAATGTTTTTTTAAAAGAAATGCAACACACTGAGTTAACATCTGAAAAACTCACATCCCTGTCTATCATTTGTGGCAGAATGTGATAATGTAATGAAACCATAAACAAACACTAGATATGAATGACAATACAGCACGGTAGCGAAATAACACCTGGAAGCAGTGGCTTAATATTACCTAATGCTTCAAGGGAAAGCATGATGTTTGATGAACCATGGCAAATACCGAGCGTATTACATCAGACCTTGCCATAATGTCTCTCTTTCTCTCCCTCTGCCCCTCAAGTATCTTCTGATAAGAAAACACAAGCAAATCATAAAAGTTCCTTCTATCGTAATTTGGAAAACAAGAAAATGGAACAAGATCTATGCACTTCATTTTCCTTAAAGCCACAGCCATTTTTACTGTAGCACTCCCAATCCTTTTCAGGGTAAATCCAGGAATAGATATATTTTTTCTTTTCTAATTTCCAAAAGTACAACTGCCCAATTAGAATCAATTCCAGATGCAAACCTCTTTCTGAAACTTTACTGTTTTATGCTCCAGAATTTCAAGCTAAGCTATCTACAGGTACTAAATTTTAGGTGTAAGAACAAAGAAATTCATCTGGCAGAAGTTTTATGTATAATCCATGAGGACTCTGCATGCTGGATCCATTGATATAGTAGAGAGAGATCTGAAGTACAGGTAGGGGAACTGCTTGTGGACTCGGTATTAGGAGATGAAACCCAAGTTACCAGTTTCAGAACACACAGCAAGCAACAAAATGCACTATACAGAGCTGTTTTAAATATTAAAACAATAAAAAAACCTAGTTTATTTATGAAGCCAAGTCACAGCGTACTTATGAAGTGACATTTTTTTATATTCAATCTTCCTATCAAATTGATGATTTCATATTATTCCAGAGCAGTGTTAACGTTCCTTTAGAGTTTAGCCAAAGAGCATTTTGCAGAAGTATTAGAGAGGACAGATGCTTAACGCCGATCTTACTGCCAACTACATGTCTAGAAAGGCCTTGAAATACTCAAAAGGCAAAGATTAAGATTATCGTGACCTAATTTCCTGAATGTTTTAAATAAATTACTCAAGTAAAATATCTTTCTGTTTACAGGGCGTTGTCTAAGGTATTTCAAGTCACTAATTATCTTGATTCTTTCTTTGTTAAAAGCAAAACAAAAAAAATCTCCCCCACAGTCACCTAGAGGACTTCCTCCGGGCTGAGGCTGAGTTATCATCAAATTCTTTTTCTAGCCCAGAGAAATCAGTCAGAAGTCATGTCAAATCATTAAGAAGCTTTGTAAATATTTAAAAAACGAATTTGATCTTATTTTTTGAATCCTCCTGAATTAATGCATTTACTGGATAAAACTAAATAATTAAAAACTAATGCAGAACAACTAGTTCAATTTCTCCATTCTTTGTGTCAACCCTTCTTCCTTCCTACTGATGTATAAATTTCCAGACCATGGATAAAAATATTGGATTCTGCCAGAACTAGTACTAACCTTTACAAAAATCCTGTTAGAAATACAGCTATTCTCATACCACATTGACTTGAGAAGACAAGTGTATAGCACTAGATCCACCAGCATGCATTTTCTTTCTACCAATGACAGATATATTTCAAAGTTTTAGAGCCATAATTAATACTACTAATTTTAGCTTGCATAAGATGCAATAGATTCTGAATGGGCCACACTTTGTACCACAGTAAAATGGAATGCAAGCACTAACAGTTAGGAGGAAGAGCACTGTAAAGAAAAAAATACCTTTACTAACCTTGAAGAAACATAATTTTAGATGAAATTAAAGTTTATTCCAGACATTCTTCCTACTTAAACTTATTCTTCTCCTTTGTCCACTGTACACAATCAGCATCCTATCCAACAGAAAACTAATGCATGTGCTTACGTTTAAGACAGTAGTCATTTTTAACTTAGTGGGACGACTTATGCGTATACAAAAACATTTAGGTGTTTTTACTGGTGGAAACCAGCTATTTGGATTTCAAATGTTATACCTTTTTGTTCAACTCAGAAGTTTGTGCTTAAAAAAAGCATAGAAGAGAAAGGAAGACCTCATTTCATATCAGAATAAGAGAACAGGGCACATACAGACATCTCCTGCACAGTTTTACAGTGTGGGTGCTCTGATTTCTGTTGCTGATCACATTTCATTACAGTATTCTTCCAGTCTTTTATGGCCAAATACATAACCACCTTGATTTTCAAACACTGTTTTACCAACTATTACCTGATAGTAGTCTATTTGCTTTCAAAATGAGAAAAATGTGAATATTTCTATGAGATACAGATGTAGTATGAACCTGAGCCGGCATTACAGAGCTGCAAATCCCACATCCGATTTCACAGTTATTGTAGCTGACCTCAATACTGCATAACGCTTTCCCTTTAACCAAACCTCTAAACACTGTCAGTAACAAAATAGTTTGTTTCCCCAGCACTTACCAATAAAGAAACAAAACCCAAAAGCTACAAACTAAAATCTAGCTCTAAAATTCATGTCATATCTGGAGACTGAACACAATAATACTAAAATAGATTTGTTTTTTTCTCTTTAATATAAAGTCAATACAGAGTAGTTTGAGGTAAAAATCTAAAATTTAGTTTCACAATAGGACACCAGTATTTATTATAATTTAAAATGGTGTTAGCACCGTTTTCTTAAATGGAAGTGAGAAGACACAGTACAAAATCTTCAAGAGATTAGAGCGTCACCAAGTGACAGTGAATCACCTAAAAATAAGATGCAAGCATCTCAAAGACAGTAGTGCCTTATCCTCCTGCTTTGTCTTTAGTTTTTCTATTATAAAAACAAAACCAAAAAATTTCCATGTATCTTGTAAGAGGAGTATTCTGATTTCCTTCCACCCCTGAACAATATTTGCTGAAGCTGTCTTTTAATGAAATACCAGCTGAAGATCTAAGCCGATTAAGGCTTTTTGAGGTCACTGAGCTGGAGGAAAGTAGATCAGTTTCCTAGCGATCACTTCATGTAAACATACCTCAGCACTCCATAAAGAATCTACATATTGAAAGTTGTCTTATTTTTTTTTCCAAATAGAAGACACTTCAGATATCAAATTAACAAACTCGTTAAATAGTCTAGCTGTAACACTTAACTGATCATTGCTCACTGATAAACTCTTGCACTTGAAACTATTCCAATGGAGATGACTTACACTACAGAAGTTATATAATATCTAAGTTCCAGGCTCCAAGAATAAATTCAAGTCAATAAGTACTGAGTACCAATGATTAATACCTCAAATTATTTCCTTCCTAGACCTTAGAATAGGAGGGAAGAGGTAAGACATTTAGGTTATATTTTTTCATTGTACATAAGAGTCATTTTAGTCCTTTTCAAGACACTAAAGATGTGGAAGGAGTGCAGACTTTCTCATAGCACCAACTTGTTTCTTCACAGTATAGCTCCACGCCAAGCAGATAAGCACTGACCTAAGGCAGTGCTACTGCTTCCAGCACAGGTTCATTTGCTTGAGCCTCTGTATCATGCTATATTTTGCACCAGAGATGTTTCAAATGTCTTAGGGGCAAAAAATAATCTCAAAGGCCTTGGAAAACCAGGAAAGGAGGAATAAATTATTTCTTCCCCATTCCCAGCTAATCTAGATTGTCCCACTGCAGGCCCTCATCAGATCTACTTGCCCTTCTCTCAGCCCCAGTAATTCTTAAGCTCCTTATGTATCTATTCCAGCCTCTTCCTAGGAATTCAACTCCAAAATATCACCCCCCCTAACTATCAGACTCCCCATTTCTTACCCAGCCTCCTATCTTGTCAGAATCCTTCAGTTTATTTCCTCACTCCTCTTCGTCTCACCTCCCGTACAGCTAGATTAGACAGCCTTCTTTCCCAGCAGGACAAACTATACCGCAGGTAACAGAATCTGCTTAGGCTCTAATCCAGTGCCAAGACCTGACATAGTCCAAAGCAGCTCCAAAAGAAACTTCAGTGCTTTCCAGCCCCACGCCATATAAGAAAGAATGCGCAAGAAATCAGGATGTTTAATTCTTCTAGCAAAAGCTCATAACACTATATTCCTTCTAGAAACAGTAAGGCTCTGCTCAAGAAGATTGCCTCCCTCCCTTCCTCTAAAATAGCCAAAGCTTTGCATTAAAAAACCCCCAAACCCCCAAAAACATCCCAAACCCCAACCACACCACAGAAAACCCACCACAAAAACCCACAACCTCCCAAAAAAGCTTTAGTTTTAGCCAATCATTTATCTCCCAGCAACCCAGGGCTTAAAACACACAGACAAAGACTGCAGAGGAGTTACATTTCAGAAGACTGCCTACTCTATACATTTATTGCCCTCTTCTCCTGAAGCTGACAAATGGAATGAAGCAATTATACTTTGTAATCATTTTAACAACCAGACTGCAAAAACTGAGTAGTCCATTTGCTGGACATTGCCTTCGTCAATGTTTTCAGTTAGGTTTCTCTCCCCGGGAAAAATGAAATGCTCTTTGTATATAATATAAAGCTATCTTCAGAAAAATCTTGCTGCTTCTTGTATTTTTTTTGACCCCTTCTTTGCTGATCCCAGAGTAGCTAACTATTCTATTTTGGAATAGAATTTTATGAATTCAAACTCACGAGGATTTGCTTTGTTTTGTGTCATTAAATTTGTTACTGTGGTTCTTATCAGCCTCACAAGAAATCACAGAGCTAATTACTTTCGCTACTCCCTACCAGTCAAGCAGAAATAGCATTTTTATTACTATTACTACTATCATCATCATTATTATTATAAGGAATTGGTTGCAAGGCAAAGGTCTGTAGCCTTTGGTTGGAACAAACAGGGTCATATGAGACTTCCACAAACACACTATTCCTCCCAAGTTTTCTGTGGTAATTTTGGGATCTGACAACTAAGGTTCTTCGCTTTGTCAGAGCCTCTTTTTCATACACCTTATCTTTACTTTGGCAGGGGAGAAAGGAACCTAAAGACATAGCAATTTACTATAATTCCAAACAGTATTTTTTTTTTTAATTGGTTAACAAGATACAGCTATTCTTAGGTGACATACAACCTCCACTACTAAGAGAGTTTTGCTTTTTCAGCAAGTTTTGAATAAACTAAGCTTAAGATTCTGAAAAATTTAAGTCACTTTAGTATTAAAAGCTCTTATATGACAGAAATACTCCTGCCAAAGTTGAACCACTGAGAATTTGATATGAAAGGGAGAATCAGGTTTCTTTTAGACTCCACTAAAATGCTACATAGTAATCCCCAGAAGGAAGGGAAATATTGGAGGGAAATATTTCACTTGTTGCTTCCCCAAAATGGTAAGTAGACAGAAGAACGTACTGACACAGTTTTTGTGCTCAGAATTATAGATTTTCCTTCAAAGAACTTCTTGGAGCAATATTCCAATAGCTGAACCTTCTGTAAATGGAAAGGACCAATGTAATTATTTCAAACTGGGAGAAGATCAGGAACCAAAGAATCTAAAAGGTGGAGAAAACTATACATTATTATTTGTTTAACTGAGATCATTACTCCTGTATTTTATATAGAATTTGGAGATGTTAAAAAAACACCGACATGTTTAAAATAACTGATTTTTTTTATGCATTGTACCAAGTATCTTTTATAATTAGCTGAAAAAAATACGGGTATCAACAGCTCAGTAAAGTTCTTGAGCTTTGGAGAGCTATTGATGACCAGGTGAAAGTATAAACTCTCTGCCAATAAAAGCTATCACTGATTTGACACTTTTTTAAAAAATGTGTTCGATGGTTTAAGATTTCAAAGTCAAACTGGTCTTCACATACAAATCTACCATCCCAATAGTTTATACTGTGTCTGGCTCCTGTATGAGCTATGAGAAGAGAGATAATCTGATCTTCCTTTGCTGAGTGGCTGTAGAATCAGATGAATTTGATATAGACAAGGTAGGTCTACATTTACAAATGCATCGGGTGACAGTGAACACTACCTGTAAAACACTGACTCCCCTAAAAAAGAGGACATTGACCTTCTTGCAGTTACCTTTTATTGCCAGTGTTTGCATAAGAATAGTGTGAGGTATTTTCATTCATAAAGTACAAAGGCATTTCATGGTCCACACCATGAAAAAAATCTGAAAGTCTCTTTATTAGAAAGGCACGATAGCTAAAACTCCTCAGATTCAAGTCTCAATATGACCTTAGTACAGAGAATAAAGACAGATTGATAGAAATTATCTATGATTCATTGAAAACAGAAAGGCAAAGCAATTTAATAACTGGAACATCTCTACTTGTTCTGTAAAATAGAAAAAATATAACAGCATAAAACCCCCTTCATTCATATAAGTCTAGCTGGTTAGGTACTAGGTAATGTAAAAGATTTGAATGACTTCTAAATAGTAAAACACGATACATTATAAAAAAAAGTTTTAATTGCTAAATCACAAACATGCTGAGAACTGTTTTCTAAACCTGACAGTTTGCAAGACTGGGAGTGTTACTTAAAACTTAAATCAATCAAAATGGCTTTATTATTCCAACACGGAGCAAGTAATTCCACCAGAAGTAAAAAATACTTTTTTTTTTTTTCTTTTTTTGAGATCAGTCATTTTGATACGACGTCTGTATCAGACATGAAACCCTTTTCTGGGAAGGCAATCTGAAAAATTTATATTTAGCAAATTCTAAACCACAGAAGTTAGGCCCATTTCTCATGTTCACGTACCTAAATGGAAGATACGGTGGATTAGATCCAGACAAAAGCGTTCTGTAAGCTTCTTCTGGTGTTTTCTTCAAGTATATTACCTAAAGAGGGTGGGGGGAGAGGAAAAAAACAGAAGCCCTGAGACTGAAAAGTCATTAACCACATGTACGCTTCCCCCAGCCCACTAAACTCGTAAGAATGTATACTGTATTCCTTTATGACCAACTCCTATGACATTTATAGGTCAGAAAAGACATACCTACACAAAGTAAGAGATTCAGAAATCAACAGAAGTCAACAGAAACTGGGATTTCTGTTTTGTGTCATTCCCCCCCTTTAAAAAAAAAATTAAAAAATTTAAAAAAAAAACCCAACACATATTGCTGCAACTGAGAGACTTTAAGACAGACTCAACATTGCACTAAGATGAACGATAGGCATCTATGCTAGGAGTTCTCTGTCCAACTCCAGACGAGTCAAAGCATTATCACAGCAGCTGACAAAGGAAACACTTCACCACCACAGCTCAATGGAAGATTTTCCAACACAAATATTTTTTGATTCTTAATTGTCAATATCAAACTACTAATTAACAAAACTATCCAATTCAACAAGCTGAACCTGTTACGATGAGACCAACATATAGTTAATGTAACACCCTAAGCCAAGGCTCATTCTGCTATCGCTGAACACTATCAGCTCAGTTTACTCAAGTACAAAATTAGAATACAACCACATCTTGTTGCATTTCGATTCCTATTTGTACAGTAAAACTGGTCCTAAAATAAATTTAACTTGGAATACATATTAAGCAAGTGCATTATTTACAAAAAAAATATTCCATCCAGTTTGGAGTGGCATATTTCACATGCACAAATATGTTTTGTAAACAAAACCACACAATTTTCCTAGCCATTTCCTCCCAACTCACCTTACAAGCAGCACCTACATGGCTACTTTTTAGCTCTATGCACATTTAGCTGTTGAATATAAAGTATTCTAATAATTATTTTCTTAACCAAGACATAGGCTAATTCCTGATCTAAAAGCTTTATTCAACTTTTGACCCTGAACACATTAGAATATAGGTAAGTGGTGACCACTCCCAGAATATTTGCAATTTGCTTTATGTCTAAAGTCATATCTCAGGTTAATGGGATTCTTAGTACTCTGTAAGATGGCAACATGGTAGGTAGATTTTCTTGCATTCCTTCCTCAAGCATGGACAAGGCAGACAGAAAAGACAAGGTAAGGATAACCCAAAAACAATATTGACTCAGGTAAAACAGTCTGAAAAACTGTTTGCCATGATGCAAAGCAAAGAGGGTCCAGAATCATCTCTGTTTTTCCACTGCCACCTATTTCATTGCTTTGAACAACTAGTCTAATTTTGGACCAAAACCCTCTACACAAGCTGATTTGCCTTCAATTCTCTGACACGGAGCTGTAGTTCAGGGTCGACTCCAGTGTTGCTGCTCCACTCATCACGGTCACACTGATAGCATGGATCAGTATAATCAGTACCCAAAAAGAGGAACAAACCCCACTTATCTTCAAATGTTAAATCTCAATATTGCGGCAGCATCAATGTTGCTGTTTCATTTAGCAAGTGCCAAATCACATGTTTCTCAAAATTAATGTCCCTGTATTTGCCTGAACTTCCATATTCTCCCCTCCTTAACCTCCGAAAGCAATGGTTTCCCGAAACCTTCCACCATCAAAACAGACCACAATTTCTGTATGAAAACCATTCCATTTATTCTGTGTTATCAGAACAATTGTTTCTAATTCAATTATTGGATTCTTTGTTTTTGGGGTCAAACCAGTAATTACCAATATTGAAACAGGTTCAGAGATTTATTTAATGGATATATGAACTTACTTAATTCAAAGAGTGGAGGAGCCCATTTCTTTTTATTTTTAAGCTGTAATGGTCTGTCTACAGCAATGATTGCTAACTAATGGCACCAACGTCATGCTTTCAACCCCTGCAGCATAGCAATGCTATTCTCTTTTCACAGTCTTTGTAAGAGATTCTTTTAGTCTGTGAAAGAAGTTTCCTTTTTACTTGCTTTATAGTCCCCCCTCACCACAAAGGTTTTGCATTTAAGAACAATGCATCCTGTGCAACAGATTTTGGGGGGGGTGTGGTGTGGTGTGTGTATTAGAGAAAAATACTGATTTTATTCATGTCAATTAATGTCAATAATCACGTCAATTAGCTTACATTTAAAGCCTAAATTCCTACTTGTAGTGAAAAGATCCTTAGAGGGTAGTTCAGAGGACTTCAGGGAAAGATGAGTTTCCATCTTACACAGCAGGGAGTCAGAAATCTGAAGTAGGGGCAAATTTGTACTATATGAATGTTTTCCCAATGCTGCAGTTTTTATTTCACAGAAGTTATGGTACTTCCAAGCTGTCTCTGCTCAAAGACATGTATACATGACATTTTGAACTAAACACTACTAGTTGTCTGTCCACAAAGCTCATAATAAAGACACCAGGATGGAAACAGGATATTAAGAACACAGAAGGAAGGAAGAGAGGGAAAGAAACACTGAACAGAGCTCCTGAAAAAAACAAAGTATCACAGATGTCAAGAATAACGCAATAACTGAAGGAGGAAGGATAATGAAATGGAGAAGGAAACACTACAGTACATGTCTTCAGTACTTAAAGTAGTGATATCCATTAAGAAAAACCCAGGAGACCGTTTTCTGACTCATCTTTATCAATGAAAACTCAGCAACTGAAACTTAGCTTCATTTTTTAATCTAATATGACGAATCTTCAGAGTGCTTTCATTCTGCAGCATACACAAGTAAAAAAAAACAACACAAAGAACCTGTAGTGAATAGTTTGTATAAATTGAACCTTTATCTAAGAAATAATGTGAATAAAAGCCTTTTTTTAAAAAAAAGCCACTTTCCAGATAGTAACTGTTCTCTTACAAGAGTTGCTTTACAAGGGACAAGGTTCTCCCCTTCCCCACTGTTACTTCTCTAACTCATATCATGTGGCACTGCTACCTGTAAAATACAGATTCAGCAAATATTGAAAGTCTTCAAATATTTTTTTTCCTTTTACATTTCCATTCTTATGTTCTCAACTTCCTGAATATTTATGTGGTTGAAAGATAAAGCTCTCCGCAGTTGGGACACTATGCAGGCACGTGACACGTAGCAATACTGGCCACATACACACCGCCAAGAAAATTCATACCATATGTCCTAAAAAGTTTTTCAGAACAAAAAGGGAATTAGTATTTTGCAAGTCCACCTTAACACTCATCCACAATATTTCAAATACAAATTGGATTCATCTTGTTCCCACCCACACCTGCCATTTTTGAATTAGAAGTATATGGAACAGATCCACTCTAGAGCTACTAAGTTATCACGAGAATTCTGTGAAGCCAATCTAAAGCAATCTGAAGAAAGGTGTTGCTTGAAACAGCAAAAAGGCCGTACACGCTGCAGTAACTGAAAAGCCTTTGTACTTGCTGACCCTCCAGGAGAGGGATTACAGATTTGAGCAGTAGTGCGATATGCTTAGGTTACAAGAGAACAAACCCTTAAAGCTTCAAATAGGGCTGAGAAGTCTAATTTATATTTTTAAATTAGGGAAAAAACACTCCTGCAAGCAAATGACTGAACATGCCGTAGTAATTTGCTATTACCCAGTCATCTGCTGCGATGAAATTACAAACTTAAGAACTCAACAGCTTTTCCCCCTTACTGGCACTACAGAAGTCTAATGAAAGCTATTACTACCAAAATACACACTTAAAGTAATTGTGAGAAAGAAATATGACCAGCCCATCTGCTATCTACAAGGAAAAGGAAAAAGAGCTCACTGGATCTCTTTTCAGATTTTGTCACAGTATGAAAGCATTATGTTTCACCAGGACTGCTCAAAAGTCAGATTTTGGTCCACTAATCAAGTTTTGATCTTTGAAGAATTGCAAGAGATAACTACTACCTGACTGATGCAAGGGCAGAACTAAAGTTCTAGGTTTACCAGGAGGAGCAAGTGTCATACATACATGTTCTCTCTTCCCTCTGCCCCATTTCTCTACAAGTCCAAGAGCAGTCACTGGTACAAACAGACTAGTATTCCTCCTGCTCTTCTCCCCCAGGGAATTCAAACCTTACTAGACAGCAGAGTGTATACAACCAGGTAGGGGTTCGTTGGTTTCCAACCAGCAAAGAAACATAAAAATTACTTTAAGAATATGGAAAGAGGGACCCAGCTCCCAATTCATCCATATGTTATCAGACAAGAGAAAATGCACTCTCCTTGACGATTTCTCCAAGAATGAATTCTTTGATGACAAGCAGGGAGTTCATGTAATCACTTCAGTATAATTCAGTATAATTAAACCTACTCCCTCTCCCCTCTCCCCCCCCAGACAGAAACTACTAGGGACAAATTGAGTCAAACCAGGCTACTTTAGTTTTGGTATGCATGAAAGTACTTGTGATACTATTTTAAAACTATTTTTAATACCTTTTTTTTTTTAAATAACTATTGTGGAAGACTACATAAAACCCCCTAACAACTAAAATAAGTCTCCAAACAGATGAAGGGAAAAGCAAAGCAATACTAGCTTCAAAATATTCTCTGTGGCACCTGGTAAGACTTTGCAAAACCTAGTAGCACCCTGTTTCTGCCATCACTGAACAGTCTATGTTGTAGTCTTGGCCATTTAGGGGGAACCCTGAACTTCTCTGTAAGATCAGAGAAGTCTGCGTGTTCTTCTGTTCTTGTAGCACTTTAAATATTTTTTTTCTTCTTAATCTGAATTTTAGGACAGAAGTAATCTTTGCAGAATTCTTAAGAGCAAGGACAATAATTTAGCAACTGAACATGATCAGCCCAAATGTATCGAAAGTCCATTGTAAAAATTGAAATTTAGCAAATGCATCTTCCTGAGATGCAATTTACAAACAGGCAACCTATTGCCAATAAAGTTTTAAGACTTAGCTTTTGCTTAAACTTATGACTCTCTTATTAAAATATTTTAATAGCTATAGGGTATTTCAGTTCAACATGTCTAAGAAGCTGTTTAATGGAACAATCTAAGTTGCATAATCACCACTAGAAACCCATTCCTAGAACCTGATCCACTGTTTTCCACGTTTCATTTTACGCTTAATATTTTAACACCAGGACAAATAAAACAAGCCTTCTCAATTAACTTTCACACATTGGCAGAGTTCATAGCTATAAGACTTTCTGGTCTCAAAAAGCTTGTATAATCAAAGAAAAGACATAAAATCTAGATGACCTTAAATCAAAGAGTAAATATATTTCTGTCACAGTTTGGATATTCAAATTGTAATAGATCAAATTGCCAATTACACACAGTTCTTTTACTGAAGAATATGATTAGATTCCTTCAGGTCAGGAACTGCCCTATCATGTAACCCAAGAGTGCACATCTACTGCATCTGACTGAACATAGCATTTACAGGTAAAACACTCAAAAAATGCAAAGATTATTTCTTGAGTGTGAAATGAATATGCCTGGATTATAAAAGCTAAGCTTCTGCAATTGAAAAACAAAAATCAGATTATTAGGTAGACCATAAATAACTTTTTAGAATAAATAAAAATTCATTTTATGAATTTATTGGCATTAGTATCAATCATTGTAGAAGAAGGTGAATGAACTCCCATAACACTTCCAAGTTTAGGAATACACATCTATAGAAATAATTCTGGGATGACATACTTATGTAACATTGGATACCTTTGTGCAAACTGTTTTCCAATGTTCTACTAAATTGAGATGAATTGGAAGCGACTATAAGGTGTTTTCAACAAGAGGACAAATACTTTTTTGTACTGGTAGCACTGTATTGGTAAAGAATTATTCTTGGTACATAATATCTTCAATAATCAGAAGATACTTAAAACATCTCCTAGTCTGACAGGAGAATAACAGTATCAAACGCAGGTGTGGATCACTTGCATGTGCTAGCAGTTAAGAGCTATAAGCAGCTTAAAACAGGCTAGGCAAGGGTTAAATGTGCATGCAGTTGTGGCACACTAATTTACCTTATTGTACACATAAGCTACCAACTCTTTATGTGATGTGCCACCTGATATCCATTATGGAGTACATATACAGTCACACCATGGTACACATACTATGTGCTCCCCCTCTTGACTTTCTTCAGAGGGATTTCTGCTGCCCTCCCCCCAGTGTGTGCCCTTATCCCTAGCTTTAGCTGCTGAGCAACTCCTTCAAATAAGGACTACCAAATATACCAGACTGTTCCCATATTTAAGTCTTAAATACTGCAAATATGGCACAGTCTTACTTAGCTGATCAGTCCTCTGCTTGGAGTTCTGTCTTGCACCTTTCGTACCCCCTTACCTTTCTGTTCCTACAACCTGGCTTTGCAAGAAGTTCTCTTCATGGACAGTAGTGCTTTCTCCTTGGGTCTACCTAATACTGATAAGGGCCTTTTAACCCCTTGTCCACAGAGAACAGCTATTTAGTTGAGATGGTCATATAACAAGGACTGGACAAGGGGAATAAAAAGATTATCTCATCCCCTTCAAAATGCCAGTGTCCTACCCTTTCCAAGGCTTCTAAGATGAAGGCAGGATCAGACAAGGGCAATCCAGTGAAGGCAATCAGATGCTGTAATCTTCATATGTGCTACATGAATGTTCTCTCGCTATAGGCTTAATTAGACCATCTTCAAAACATGAAGTGAATCTTTCTAAATACAGAATTGGAGATAGAATGATGCAAACAGAAAACAAAAAGCAGTCTGAATGGAATGACTGAAGTTTCTTTACAAACTATAGTGTGGGAATCATTATTGAAGATGCTACAATTCGAACAGATTTTGGATCTGAAGGGATCAGTAAAGCTTATAAAGCTTATAAAATACTATCAAATTTGGAGGCTCCTTAAACAGAATATAAAACACAGAATTGGAAATTTGAGCATTATTAAATATAGCCTTGTACAGTCAAAAACGTTAACAAACTTGGAATGTTCTAACTCATTTGTTCTTACTATTCCTTTTGCAGAGTTGTTCCATCGGGTCTAATCCCAAGGGTTAAAAATCTAACCCAAAGATTTTTAAAATTTGAACTTATCCCCAATTTTTTTCCCATCTTTAACTAGATCTTCTTTCTCAAAAGCATTTACACACTATCCCCACACTTGTAGTAAAACATTTTGTGTAATTACAAGAATCTGCAACCTAAATTCTTTCAATATTATCATCTGCATTTATTGAGCTTTGCTTTCAGCATGACATCAGGCCTGAAAGAAATATACCAGCTTTCACACAGTATAAAGCCTGACTTAACAGAGACTTCCAGAACTCAGCTGACCACGTGGATGTCAGCTCAGGACCAGCAGCTTATTAGTTTCAATACTTTATCAGCATAAAACATGCTATCACAAAGACTCTGAGTTTTCTACAAGTGTGCTCCAATTCTGGCCAGTAGAGCAGGAAGGTAAAATTGAGTCTGAGCTACACCGCTATGAAGACACACAAGTGGCTGTGCAAGTGTAAGCGTGGGACTATCAAAACTTACGTGATATCATAGTAAGTTAGGCTTGGCTAACTAAGATGGCCCTGTGTATTGCATATTATCTGTAACATCAGAAGGCTGAAATACCTCAATTTTTCCATTATTCTGGGTAGGCTACGGACATTAACTGAGAAAAGAAATCCATTCAATAATCACTATGCCTCTGGTCTAGTAACTTTAAGAAAGGCTGTGAGAAAAAGCTTTCTCCTCCCTAGCATGAATCTCACTACTACCATGAGCAGCAATTGATCTTAAGAGTTATCTGTAACATCAGAAGGCTGAAATACCTCAATTTTTCCATTATTCTGGGTAGGCTACGGACATTAACTGAGAAAAGAAATCCATTCAATAATCACTATGCCTCTGGTCTAGTAACTTTAAGAAAGGCTGTGAGAAAAAGCTTTCTCCTCCCTAGCATGAATCTCACTACTGCCATGAGCAGCAATTGATCTTAAGACAGCCAGGTTTAGAGGTAAGTTTGTGGTTTGCATTTTTGCCATTCAAGAAAACGGTATCCTATGGGAAACATGCACATGATCTGTCAAAGCCAATCCCTGTGTAGTAAATGGAGTTAAGTGACAAAGACAGGGCTTCCCTAAAACTCATACAGCAGAATTTTCAAAGACAGCTTAGAGAAGAATCAAATGACAATCTGCCTACCTCCCTAAAGAACCATCCCTTGAGATGCTATTTTACACATAGCAGACGTCTCTTAAGAAGGTTAGAAGTATCCATGTGATAAATGATACTTACAGCATATGCACCTATTAAAAACGCCGCATTTGCTCGTTTCCGCTGGTCAAAACTGGTATAGTACACTATCCTCTTTCTTGATAGACTGAAATACTGTTAAAAAAAAAAACCAGACAGCATATTTACTGAGAGAAGCATACACTTTAAAAATACTTTAAAAAGTCACCTTTCCAAAACTGAAAAAATTCTCATAGAGAGATTCTTAAAATTAAAGGAGAAAAAATTACTGATACCATGAACGATCCTCTTACATTATAGGTAAGAGTGCAGGGAAACAGCCACTGTATCAGGGCAGATCTCTTAGTTTGCTGTGTGAAAATATCCTATAAAATGCAGTTGAACCAAAATGCTCAATATAAAATACTGGATTTTTTTTCCCAAGGTGAAATATTTCAACATAGCCTATGAACATTGATTAAAGACATTGAAATTTTCAGACTAAAACACCCTCCTATATGTTAAACCTCTTCAGCACGTAATTCTGTGGAGAAGACAAGAGAAAAACTGAAGCAATCAATCTTACAGGCATTTTATAAATTAAACACCACCCTTCCATCTATACTACCTAAAAACAGGGTGACAGACATCTTTAGAAAGCTTCAACAGCAAGAATTTATAAAAAAAAAAAATTATTGCACAAGTGAAAAGCCTGAAAAAAAGACTAGGCAGAGACAAAACTAGTAACGTTTGCAATTCTTCTTTCTTTAGGAAGAAAAGAAGCCTCTGTCAGAATCCTGTGGACAAAACTCCCATTGAAAACAAGACCAGCAAGCACCAGAAAAGAACAATAATGACAAACTGCAGCAAAACTAAAGCCAGAGAGAGATAAAATTGTCACTTAAAAATGGCAAGTTGGACAGTTTATTGCATTATATTTTTTTTAGCTTCATGAATTGCTACATTTTCATTATATTCTGCAACACTATCACTCATGTTTTTCCTGACATTTCTACAGTACTACTACAGTTTTGAGGAAGTCATCAACAGACATACTGGATTCTGCTTCTAAATATTTGAAGCGTGTTTCTATTTTTAAAAGTTGCACATTTTATAAACTGCCTTTATACCAGTGCTGCTGTTACCCAACTTCAGGTTTTTAAATCTAATTTGACAATTTTAATTTCCTTTCTTTTCCCTCTCTTGGCACTGATGACACTTGGGGGTGGGAGATACGGTAATGCTGCAGAATTGTGGTTTGTTTATTTATTTAAGTAGTGCCAACTGTATTTCGCTTCCAGAAATCTGTAAATATCAACTCTCATCTTAAATGTTGTTGCAAATTTTAGGACAGCTTTAACCACAGAATCCAATTGTGCAAAAAAACCCCAAATAGCTGATAAACTCAGGAGAAAACCGAAACAGCAAGCTTCTTACTCCCACCCCCTCCAGAAATAGCACTTTTAATAGCAGTTCTAACTGTACATTCCAGTCTGGTCTTACTACCCACAACTTCCATAGGTGGAAGGAGTGGAAGGAGTGAGAGTTAATGCAACTGAATATATCTAAATAGGACTGTAATTCCTCAGATAGCTGCTTCCTGTTGATTGGAAGAGGTTGTATCTTGAGACCAACCAGCAACATCGCCCTCAGTGTATATGCAAACATGCAAAGCACAAGTCATTATTTAATTAGTGAAGCATTCAATTATTATTAAAGCTTGACAAAATTAATCCCAGTATTTTAAGATGCCTCCTTTCTTCCCCCTCCTCAATTTGTTAATTTTAGTGTTCTCTAACTGCAATTCCACCCATGATGTGTAGGTGGGATAAGATTACAGTAGTTACGCAACAGTGACAGAACTTCAATTATAAGTTGTTGACTACCACTTATTTTAAAGCGAAGTTCTTTGCAACAGTTTACAGTTCACCTGAAATACTATTTTAAACTGCAAAAAGCACATTCTGCTAGCTAGCCAGAAGTAAACTCTATGCAATAAGACCATAATTCTTGTTTTATTTTACAGAATGGATTTTTTTAATCATATGGGTATGTCAAGTCATTGCAATTTTGAGACACTTTTATACCTGAAGTAGCCAAAAAGTGACAGCTCACCTTAAAAGTTCCCAGAACATTTAAATGAAAGCAATACATCATTTTCATTGCTTTATTTTCAAAATGTAACTGTTTAATCCTTATGAGGCATATTGCTATATGAAATATTTAAATGTTTTTTGAATCCTGACTAAAGCTTTAACACAAAATTGAAAACCAACATAATATTAACGGCTTATAGTGTAGCAACCAGAGGAAAACTGCATCAGGATTTTACTTTTCAGAAGCCTATAAAACAAACCACTGTTTTTATTTGCACACGAGTTACAGAAAATCAAATTTTACAGTAAGTGCTGAAGTGTCAATGCAATGCCTCTGTTAACATTAACACACAAATTCTCAACTCAGTACACTTTCAATATCAATACTAAGCTATATGATCTATTTAAAAAAATATTGATTTTTCTGACCATGTTTAAGAAGCTACGTCTACTCCTTTGGCTAGGTTAAATGACAACAAGCGTTATCATTGAACAAGACAGTTCTTTAAGGTGACTGTTCTTAGAGCTCCACCCGAACGGATTAGGGCTTTAGTTCCCGTAGATACTGCACAACTCAGAAGAACCAAAAATGTTTCAAGAATGAATTTTTCAATACAGGTTGTCTACAGAATAGCTATAGTTAGAGATAACATAGTAACATAGTTGCAAATAATCTTTTTTCTAAAGCAAAACTAAGCATGTACTATGAAGCACTAAAGATACTTTTCTTTGCCAGTGAGAAAATTTTAGCAGTTTCACTCATCATTAGAAGACAAAATGTAACAATATAACAGAACAGTATCTATCAAGATCTATCCCAGAGGAATATACTCAAAGACAATCTTCTGAACTAAAAGCAGAGGTTACATGAAAAGCGTGGCAGGTTTTGTTTTAGGTGATAAAACTAATTGATTGGGTGTACGACAGGGTTCCAGAACACATTATTTTCACTGTAAGATTACTTTTTTTTTTAGAACAATAGATCAGTTCTTATTTCTTGAAGGCCTCAATGAGTTTTACTTGCACAGAAATTGATGACAGGCTTAGAAGGTGCCATTGTGGAAAATTACTAGATTGGTATCTGTTTAGAATAATCAGATTATTTGACAGTATTTTATTTAATGGATATGGTTTAATATACTTTCATTGTTCAAGCAAGAAATTACTGCAATGTGTTTAATAAGCCTGGATCAATGTAAATACTATTTACATATATATACACACACACACACGTATATATATTGAATATGTACATATAAATAGCAGTGAGCACAAGGCTGGCAAACTGTTCATAAAAAATGATGTATTAAAACACGTACACACAAACTCCCTCAAAAATCTAAGCTGTCCTAAAGGAGATGCTTGCAATTACTATAGTTCCATGTGTATGCCCAGCAGTTTATTTCTATTAAAACAAACCTCCAAACCCCTCTGTGATTCAGCAGCAATACAGTTATCATACAAGAAATGTTAACCCCATATTTCATAAGCCTACCAGAACGTTCCCTCTCCTGCCTTTGATTTTCCATACTTGTATCATTTATTTCAGCAACATTCCCTCTCTGATTACCCCTGCTTCGGAATTTATTGAGATTGTGTAAGGCTATGCACACATAAGACACAGCAGGTTTTTAAAACAGTTTTTATGATATCATATTTATTTAAACAGAAGAAAAAAAAATTCTTTCATAAATGAATCACAGTTCCTTAGTCAAGCATTTTTTCCCCAAACAGAATTCAAAGAACAAGTAGGAAGATAGCACAGCCAAGCATTTTTTCTTGCTGTTAACTTGGCTAGTCAAGATCATCTCCATAGCAATCAGCAATCAAAACATTACAAACATAACAAGGTCAGAAAGGTTTTCCTGTAAAGCATAACCAGGACTTCACCTCCAACTTTCCCAGCAAATGGATATCTGAATAAATTCTTCAGCTCTTCAGGACAGAACTATTTACTGTTTTTAAAATCAGTCAGCAAAAAGTTACAATAGTTTACTTTAAAATGTTGGTCTGCCATTAGCACGTTTCAAACCGGTATCCTTCTCCTTCCCCACCTGTCCCCCAAGAAAGGAGAAAGGAAAGCAGAAAACTGCCTCCATGTCTAATTCCTCTCCCAAAACAGAAACAGATATAGCTGAAAGACTTGGAGGGGAAGTTTGTGTGGTTTGTTTGCTTTAATGAGACCTTATACTCTCATTTCTCCTATTCATAGAAGTTTTAAACTTAATAAAAGTCTAAGTCTTAAATTCCTTTTGAGACATCACATCCACACAAAACCTATCACGTTTTGTGAATATTTTTTTGTGCCACACTTCTTTTAAAGACTCTTTTCGTAAGAAAAGTACATGAAGTGCATACCCAACCAGGTATATACCAACTCATGGCAGGAGTCATCTGGGCTTAAGCACTGTGATTGCCTCAGGGTCCCAAAAGTGTTGCAGTATGGCAACAGCAACCATTCCACAGCAGAGGCTAGATTTCCAGAGAACGATAGGCTGCAGTGCCTTTTACTTCCTATGATCAGCCAATTCCAGCTGTTGGTTACCCTTAATGCAAGGGTATTCAAGCAGCAGGTTGCCCAACAGCACTCCTTCTCCACGTTGTTAGCCCAATTAGCACTTCCCATCTCTGAAACACTGATCACAGGCTGCCCACGTGTCCCCCTCGTGCCACGTGAGAATTACCATACTTTTGCTGCTGCAGTTGTTCATTGCATCAATGCCTTGCTGGCACGTTAAGTCACAGGTCATGAACTTCTGTCTTACACACTAGTTCAGGCCTCGGGAATCCTCTCGGGTACGCTTGTGCGGGACAGACATGAGAAGGTGAGTGGTAGAAGGGTAGAAACTGTGAATCCATAATTCTCGACTAGAGAAGCTGAGCAGTAGTCTTTTGTAGCTAGGCCTACAGTACACATCAGATGCACGCTTCAGCCCTGGGATGTGGTCTTACAAGCCTACTTACTCACTGCAGATAGTATCTAAGTTACAACAGAGTCTGGCTTATATTTTAACTATTAGAAGAGCAAAGCTTACATTAGCAGGTACTGGCCTACCTCAGGGGTAGTGCCAATCAGCCAGACTGGAATCTATTCACATGCAAGTTTCTATACCACTCTGGTGGTATTCCAAGCTTTAGCTGTTTGATTTCAGGTATTACTTTCAAGTGGTTGCACTATCAGGTTACCCTTCTCTATTATGCACTACTAGTTTAAATTAACCTATTTGGAATTAGCCTCTGGTAAGGTAGCAGCAACAAACAGCACCTCCTCCCAGCTGAGACTGCAGCTGATCTGCATGAGATTTCTCTGTCCTGTTCCTGACCATCTGTACTCTTCACCTAGCACTGCAAGTCTGTTTGCTTTTTTCAAAAAATATAAAAGTTACATTAAAATGACATCACAGTTTGCTAAATCAACCCTGCAAATGTCAGAGTTACTAATTCAGTTTCAGTTTGGCTCCCTTGTGTATTTTTTTCCATTATAATAGATGATCTTTATATCATCATGATTACAAGCCATTTATGATGAGCAGCTTGCCTCATTCAATGCAGATGATGGTCTTATAACAAGAATAAAGACTGTAGAGACATTCCTGTTTAATACTGAATCATTTAAAAAAAAAGAGTCCTGAGGTATTTATTAGTTCTTATTTTCTGGGTGAAACTCTTGGTACCTAGGGTCCAGTTTGAAGGTGTTCTAGTTCAACTATAAAAGTATGAAGGTACACTTCCACAGTGATACACGAGACTCTATTCAGGTCCCAAACTGATCACAGTCTCAATTTGAATCTGGAAAAAACAGAACTAATCTCTCTAGTTCCCATAGGCACAGTGACAGAATAGTAGGTTTATTACTGGTTCTTCTCTGGAGTAACCGCTTCACAGAACAAGCAAACTCCAGAGTTTAATAACTCAAATATAAGGTCACAAACAGCAGAACTGAGGTAAAAAAATAGATTCCTAGTGAGTGAGCATCATTGGCCATGTGTTCGAATGGGACAGTGGCACTGGAAAATAGGGTGATAATGTATTCATAAGCTCTATTTAGTGTTAACACAGAAGTGGCAAATCCAATGTTTTCCCAATATGAACACAGGCATTCAAAACTAGAAATACTAGAGTTTAATTTTTTTTTTGTTTATAACTACCTTTCTGTATTAAGAAGCAATGTAAGTTTTCACTAGAAGCACTTGTTTTGCAAAAAGGTTATAGCAACTCTACAAACAATTTGCAGGACCTCCTCTTAAGACTACCTGCCTTTAAGTCAGCATGCCCCTGGAAGCAGCAGATAGCGTGAATCAACTTGCATAATGGTTTCATTTGCGCAGCAAACATTAGTCCCAAAACATAGTGTCATTTTTGATACAGGAATCCTCTTAACAGTGGCCAATGTTATCACATCTGTTGTTCCCCTTCTATCAGTAACAGGTCTCATGTTTTATATTATAAAGATTTTAAATCTGTAATGTTTAGTGAAGGGCCTCCTTGCTATTTGCACACAAGTGATATTCATTAGTACTTTGGAATTAAAACATCTGTTTCATTTCTTGCAGGTGATAGGTTTTCTATACATGCTGCAAATCAATTTTTGACAGCTATTTGGGGACCAGGTTAAATCTACAGCTATGTGCTCAGTGTACTGGGTCCGGCTGGGATGGAGTTCGGTTTTCTCCATAGCAGCCTGCATGATGCTGTCGTTTAGATTTTTGACTAGAACCGTGTTGATAACACACCAATGTTTTAGCTATTGCCAAACAGCGCTTGCACAGCATCAAGGCCTTCCGTTCCTACTCTGCCCCCCACAGCAAGCAGGGTGGGGTGGGCAAGATGCTGGGAGGGGACACAGCCAGGACAGCTGGCCCCAACTGACCAGAAGGATATTCCATACCATATAACATCACACTCAGCAATAAAACTGAGGAGCAGTCTTTCTAAGTCAGCAGTTGCTCAGAGACTGGCCAGGCATTGATCTGCTGGTGGGAGGTGGTGAGTGATTGCCTTTGCACCACTTGTTTTGTTCCCCCACACACTGTCTCTCCCCACTTCTTATTCCCCCACTTAAATTGTCTTTATCTAAACCCACAAGTTTTTCTTGGTTCTCCTCTTCTGATTCCTTCCCGGGTCCCACACTGGGGTTGGGGTGGGAACAAGTGAGCAGTTGTCAGGCGTTTAATTTCTGGCCAGGGTCAACCCACATCAGGCTTGTGGTTTTATGACAAGACAATAGAACAAAACTCGGTCATTGTAATCTTCAGAATTAACTGCTGCATTTACAGATTCTAGACAACTTTACAAAGAAAGGACCAACGCTTCGCAGTCAAACGAAAAAGCTATTGTGGTATCCAAAGAAGACACCAAAATTTTCTATCTCTAGTGAAGAGCAACTCAAAATTGCCTTGAGTCAACAATCATTATATGGAAGCAAGAAAATAAGAAAGCTTCTACAAATTAATTGTTAGGGAGTGACACTTCTACAAGACAGAAAAAGGAACCATTTTTATATGTGTAAAAACACATTTCTATAACACTTATTAGAAGCAACATTTTATTAAATTGAATGAGATTTAGAAGTTTTAAGTTTTCCACTGAGATTTAGTTTAAACAGTGTGATTTCAGGGCCCATGTTTTGTCCTTGTTCATGGGTGTGGGGTTTTTTGTTTGGTTGGGTTTTTAATATCTGTTTTTTCAGTAATTCATACCAGCATACCCACATCATTAGCTGCAAACCCATGAAACATCCAGTGGTTTTTGTTACTATTGTCTTGAAACTGTAAGGTTATGAAGAGGTGAACACATCCTTCAGTGCCTCACCTGCTAAGCAACAATGACAGCATATTCATTTTTTCCATTCTTCAGAGGAAAAAGAATTCAGAACAAAGAATAACCTTAAAGCTAGTAGTAACCATCCAGATAATGAGCACCTAACAACACTTTCACACTGGATAATACATTTTAGTTGAATTTCAAAACAAAAAAATATAGAAACATTGTTTTTAAACAAAGCTTACCTTTAATTTCTTATTTAGTTTACAGCAGTATCTGTATAACATTGCCAAATTTAAAGGTCCAAAATCTCCATAGAAACTGGGAGAAAAAGAACAAAAAAGTGTTATTTATACAGAAGAGCTAAGCAAATTTCAACATGCATGTTGTTGATAGGTAAAAGCTGCAAATCAGTAACTTTTGGGGGATACCGGGTAGCCAACATACATGGTGCAACAGATAAGCCCTTTATTGATTCATTTAAGAGGACAACAGTAACAATTACTGTGAAAGCCTTTGTAGCTTCAGTTTAAGATGCTGCAGTAACTACCTTTGCCATTATATACACACACACTAGCTACAGAATTTTTTCTTCATCCCATGATACCCAGTCTGGTTTTGGCCAAAACTACAGAGTGAAGACTTCAAGACATGATCTACTCCCCTTTAAGCCATGCGGATATCATCCTAGATAAAGGTTCTACAACTGCTTAAAATGAGAGTATATCATTAGATACTATGAAGAATAAGCTAAACAGAATTTCTTATGGGTAGTAAAATTTATTAAATAACGTCCAGACTTGATCTCTGTCTGAAATTTAAGCTTATTTCTTTTTAACTCATTCTCCACTATTCCAGAGATTACATATTATATATACACTTTATATATACTTATGTTTCCCTTTGTCCCCCCAATCCTCTTGTCTTTAGGCTGTTCCTCCAATTTATTATTTATTTCATGTCTTCTGATTGTCCTTGTTTCTCTCTTCTAGATTCTTCTTAAACATTCATATTACCTTTGAAGCAGCAATCACTGTCCTTAGGATAAGAGCTAGTAGCAGTAGTCTGTACATGCAAATTATTGCACAATAAAAGTAAGTTCCTGGTAGGGATTCACAGTGCTCTTCCTAGCTAAGCGTTCATACAGGCACCTTTACAAGTAATAGCAGCCTTTATGCAAACAACTTATGACACCTTCTAGAGCTTTCTCCCTCCCCACCCACTGTGCAAAATTGGTAAAAATTTAAGTTGCAAGCTTTCTCCAGTATTTTTCCTTCTTGTGTATAGAAGTCTATCTTGATGGTCTATGAAAATTTGTTGATGCACGTTATAAATTACAGTGAGAATGGACTGTAACTTAAACTGTTTTAATCTGCTCTGCCTTAAGTCTTTCAATAAAAAAAAGACAGGACACTTCTTGCCTATTGACAAACAAATCAGGCCATTAGCATCTCAATGCTTGTTGTTTGGGGAATGACAAAAGAAAAAGGTAACTATGTTCTATGACTTCCGGGCTTTGAAGGAGTGAAAACTTACTGAAATCAGACGACAGAACAGGTGGTAGTACCTTTCAAGCTTTCTTCCCCATGGCAGAGGGTTTATTTTTCAGGAAAATTAGTTACATTCCAGTTAAACATAAGAAGAAAACTTCTACTTTGAGGGCAGTCAAACATTGGGAAGAGGTTGCCCAGAGAAGCTGTGGTGTCACAACCCAGTTGTACAAGGCTCTGAGCAATCTGCTCTTGTTGACCTTGCTTTGAGCCCGGGGGTTGGATTAGACGATCTCCGGAGGTGCCTTCCAGCTTCAGCCATTCAGCTGTTCTAAGCGGACACAACAACGAAGTAGGAGTGCCCTATGTTTTCGGTGCTTATTAACTTTCTTAATAGCCTCCTCCCCACATACTCTCAAAGAAAAAAAAACCGAGCCCAGTGCAAAAAGAGGTAATTATATTAGTCTTATCACTGCCTGGGACGAATAGCCTGCCTGCCACACCAATGCTATTTCAATATCATCTACTTTATCAAATAACAACACAAGTGTTTGTTAAGATTCAGTTCAACCCTTCAGTACAAATATTATGACATAATGCTTAATTACAGAAGCTCATTAGCTGGGTCAAGGACCAAGCTGTCCAACTCTTAGGACTTTATTTGTAGGTTACACAGAAGTTAACTAACTCAAGGGAAAATTGCAGTAGCAGTAAAGCAGGGTTTAACTTTAGAATTCCTCATCTTTTCTTAGATAAATCTGCCAGATATGGTCAACAGTTTAGTTATTTTTAAAACAAAACCCTTCATACGGTTTTTAATAGAGATGAAATAAAAAAAATTGTTCTAAGAAGGACAAGTATGAGTTACGACAAGAAGTTAAAACTGGAGCTCTAACAACACTAGAGTGAATGTAGCTTCTAGAAAAGCTATGTAGAAGGCTTACTAACATCTCTTCCCATTCTGCTGCACTAACACCTTCTCTAAATCAAAAAAACATTTTTCACTTAAATATATGATGGAAGAGTAGAATTTAGGATTTTGAGATTATTTTGTGAAAAACACTTTTTAAAGTATTGTGAAAAAGTGTGGAATATGATAGTTACTAGAATACTTTTTTTAAACCAGTGTGAGCAAAGCAGCTTTGATCAGCTCAAAGATATAACTGAATACACAGTCCATCTAAAGCACTGAAGAACTACAGCCATGCTTTAGGATAATAAGTTTTTATTACTATTCATTTGCTAGAAGTACATCAATATGAAGTCATATATCCACTTCTACTTTTCCACATGATTAAACTCAAACAGAAGTGTGGGAAGAGCACATTAAAATGAATTTACAAATGAATTTATCCACATTAGATAAATTACTTACTATTTTGGTGGGGATAAGGATAAAATACATTTATTGAGTCTATCCATGAACTAATTATATTTCTACAAAATAAAGCTGTTCAGATTCTCTCAACCACCAAACTAAAGATGTCACGATCTTAGACTGACTATTTCTCCATCACTTATTACCATTAAGTATGCCATGCTTCTCTTAACACGGGAGGGGGGGGAAGTAGCAGTGTTTAAGACTCTGGTACTACCACCGTTTGTCTATGCTGCAGAAACAAGATATTTCTCAGAATCCAAACACAGTCATAAAGGAAAGGCACTTTTGGTCACTGTTGCACTAGCATTGTTACCCATACACCAAACACTGGCAATTCCCAAGTTATTTACATAACACCATGTAGACAGTATAAGCCAGCCATTGGCTTCGTTGATAAAACATTGTGGCAGATATGTGAGGGAGAAAGGTTATTTGTTACGTGTATAATTTTAACTTTCGCCACTTAATACCTCTAAATTGGAATAAGCTTGAATGTCCTTTTTTTAATGGGGCTAAGTGAAACAAGTGCTTTACAAACTTCCAAATCAAAGAGTTCTCTTCTGAAAGATAATACAAGGCTCTGTACTGAAGTAATGAACTCTGATCTACAAAACCCTTCTTCAATTTATATCCTTAGAACTAAATACAGTTTCTGACATGTTTAAACAGAAGGGTTTAATCTTATGCACCCTCATTACTTTTAGTATAAACAGGCCATTTTTTGTACTTGAATTAGAGACACTTGATCCTGACTCACCCAGAGGATTTTCTTCTTACGAACAGAATTTTGACAGAGTTAAATGTAAGTGGAAGATGGGAAATGGGGGCTATGGGGAATGGGGAAGAAATGACACACCAGGTCATCACCTGAATAAAGAATTCTATCCAGCAAAAGTTGAACATAAAAACATAAAAGAAATAAAATCTTATTATAATAATAGTCACTGATAAGAATCCACCCAATACTATTTTACTTCCATCTTTTTACAGGTAATAGACTTTCTTTGTATCTAGATGTTTTAATAAGCATTTATACGCAATAAGAAATCAGGATGCCTCTGAAGCTTTAGCCACTTAAGAGAGACAGTCATTCACAATGGAGGTGGGAACCTGATATGAGGAACAGAAGGCAAGTATGGTATTAATCTACATTTAATTATATTTTGTTTTAATCAAGTACTTAGATGATAGCTTAAATTATTCTTCCCCCTCATCCCATGGAAACTTGCTATCCTTATGCTTCTCAAACTAAGAAGTAGCAAAACCCCAGAATATACTAGAGGTATATTTAAATACTCTATCTCAAAAATACTATAATAATGCTACCTGCAAGCAGTAGCATAGGTTTCTTGTAACTGTATTCTCCTTAAAATAGACTCCTAGAACCACTCCTTCCTATCAGTTCTTAAGGCATAACATCTGAGGTATTTGCTGTATTGTATCATAGGAATGGTCATCCATCTAGAAAGGCCAGCCCATAAAGAGCTCATTGGTCTACTCTGTCATGCAAGCAGTTACTGTACATTCTTCCAGGGAATTTAATGGTGAAAGAAACATAATCCACAACTCTTCAGGACAGCAACTCAGTTGTTTCTGACTGCAGTTCCATGGGATGCCACGTGAAGGTGCCATGAGTCAACTCAAGCCTTGGGCACCTCTTCTGAATGCTAAAGTCACTTTTTACTAAGCATTTGAATACCACTAACCCTAGTCCAGCAGAAGAATGATAAACTTTCGTATCTTGCACTATTGGATGGAGCCTGGTTAGGGTCAGTGAAGGAACTCTATAGCCTGGCAGACTTCGAAATGAATTGATAACCTCCATATTAACATCACAGTCAATCTATTTATCAGGGCCAAGGTATCAAGTTACCTTTCAAAGATAAATTGTGCTACTTATACTTTACCCCAGAAGCCTGATACTTTTTCCCCCCACAGATGAATACACCAGAGCAGTAGTTTTATACTGCCATTCACTTACAATTTTGTGATACAGCAACAGAGGTACGGATGAAATGATAGGAGATTCCTATCTGAAAAGCTATTTCAGGATTCTTTTCTTCATGACAGACCACTTTAAGTTCAGTGTTATTGCTACACTGAACATGAGGGTATGCATGCATTCTTACCAGGCTGTAAGCATTTCCAATAGTTGAATATGGTCCAAAGCCTAATTACCATATGGGGGGGGGGAATAGGACAGATCCACCAAGTCAGTTCTAACAATGCAATAATGCTCAGAGGGGATGATGTTACTTGCACGGCAGTTTACTCAATTATTGGTTTAGTAATTTGAAAACAGAGGCACAGTTTAACAATTGCAATCATTTTCTGGAGTGTGTACACCAGAATTGGAATACAACTACTCCTTCACACAGGAAGTTTGCCTTCTTGGAGACTAGCAACCTCAGAAAGTCATTTTTCTGCCAGAACAGGAGCACCCCAAGCTT